TAGTAGTTTACGGGCGAGTGTCTTTAAAACTTCATGAGTGTCGTAAAGGCTTACGCGAGTTGCGTACACTACATTTATACCTACGACCGTCGGGGAAAAAAGTTTAGACATTCGAGTTTGGAGCTCTACAGAAAAGTAACCAAACTAACTTAGAAAAACACCTAGTACACATAAATTTTCGTTGTTTAATTCTACGTATTCCTGTGAGAACAAATTTTTTTTTAGCTCGTTTAGGAAATTTTTTATGACAGTCGGAAGGTAAAAACTCCCTGTTTTTAGAGTATCAAAAACCATCTTATGACTTTGAAAATTCGCACAATGTAAACTAAACGTCAGAACTTTATCAAACTTTAATACAATATAGACACATATACAGGGTGATTGATATAAGTGTGCCAGCCGTTTTATTCGAAAACCATAAGAGATATCAAAAAAAGTTAAATGGTAAGTGCCTTGGACTTTTTATTTAAAAAATTGTAGTAAAGTCGAAAAAATTATTTTAGCCGCCATTTTTCCAATATGGCCGCCAACTTTGATTTTTCTTATGGAACACCCTGTATTTTATGATGTATTCTGGTAGAAAATGTAATTTTAAGACGATTTTATTCTTGTGATTTTTTTCATAAACCTAACCGTTTCAAAGATAATAATGGTTTAAGTTGTGAAATTTTGAATGGTTTTCGAATAAAACAGCTGGCTTGCTTGCTTAGGCCTGTATCGAAACTCTTTCTCATGCAAAAATTTCAAAACTTTAACCATTATTATCTTTGAAACGGTTAGGTTTATGAAAAAAATCACAAGAATAAAATCGTCTTAAAATCACATTTTCTACCAGAATACATCATAAAATACAGGGTGTTCCATAAGAAAAATCAAAGTTGGCGGCCATATTGGAAAAATGGCGGCTAAAATAATTTTTTCGACTTTACTACAATTTTTTAAATAAAAAGTCCAAGGCACTTACCATTTAACTTTTTTTGATATCTCTTATAGTTTTTGAATAAAACGGCTGGCACACTTATATCAATCACCCTGTATAATGAATTAATCTGTGTAGTTTCAGAATTTTTACTCTACCCAAAAAGTTTTTGTTGTAACTTTTGTAAATAAACTTTTTCTCAAAACCGGCAAACGCTAGAAAAAAATTTTAAAAGCTTGTTTTGAAGGTGATTGTTTTTGTATTTGAAATATTGATACTGCTCAACCAAATTATTACGCATAACGTCTCATAACTACTTAAGTTGGTCATAACTACTCATAACGTCTAAGAGAATTATGTTTTTGTGATAACATCTCATTACCACTGATTGTGATGCAACGACTTAGTCCCAGCTATTCACTCATCGTTCAATCAAATAAATACTCAACCGCTGATAATTTGACGTTCGAAGTTTTACAGTTTTACTTTTTTTTCTCTCAATTCTTGGACCTCATTGGTCCAAAGTTGTACTGTAATAGTAATATTACGTTACTATTCCTGAAAATAAGTGTTTACCGCACGAGTGTGGTGGTTATACGAGTCCGGTAAAACATTTTTGACGAGTGGCGTACGATATTTTACGCCATACTACTAAATCTGTACAAATCCTTATATATTACCACTACCACCGACTAAAGGACTAAAAAACAATCACTAGTCATATTAGAGGTTATGTTTTTGTTTATAACCATTCATTGCCAAATACAGTATAATCAGCTGTTTGGTGTCCGGTAAAAACTCATTACAGTAAAGTGTAGTACGTAATGAAACCCCATTTGGTAAGGCTGGCGGCAAACAGCTGTTTTCTGGACTAAATCCTTGCATGGGAAGATCGTCAAAATAGTGTATAGTGTGGCGTAAAAAGTAACAAACAATTCTGTAAAGTAAGTAAACAATACTGTAAAGTGAATATTTTCAATTCTAAGAACTGAATTGAAAAGGCTGGTTTAAAAAATGGTCGTAGGTAAAGTAAAATAAATTACGCCCCGGCCCCGCTACACTGTTTTCACGAACTTCCCATGTAAGGATTTAGTTTATAAAACAGCTGATTGCCGCCAGCTTAATCAAATGGGGTTGTATGAGTGTTTACCAGACACCAGCTGATTATATTAAATACAATCAACTGGTGTCCGGGAAAAACTCATTACAGTTTGCCAAATTTTGCCAATGAGTGGTTATTAAAAAAACTTAAAGGTTGATTGTTAGTGCTTTAGTCAGTAGGTATATACATATAATGATTTGTACATAGGTTTTAGCGAATTTCCCATATAGGGAAGAAGCTATTACCGTAGGTCTCGTGGTAAGACCTAGACCCGGGGAACAAACACCCTCCGTTCAAATTTATATATATATATATAGCCTATACGTACTATGAGTACATCATTTTTGATGTACCATCAAAAATCACGATATAGGATAAAAGGATATACTGTATATGTCCGTTAGCGTGATAACTGGAGCAAAAATGAATCGATTTTGATGAAATTTGGTACAAACGTGTAAACGTACGTTTGTTCGAACGAGTTTGCAAACCAGCATGATCGTACCATGTGAACGGGGTTTATGGGGGGCTTTATGGGGTAAAAATTGGGTTTTCTCGTTTTTGACTCTAAAATCATAAAATTTTACAGTTTCTTTTCAGACCAATTTGTAGAGCTTGAAAAAGGAATAATTTTGTATATTGAAGCGTTGTTGTACGCCTACCGGTTATGGAGGTAATAAAAAAACTTTAAATTTGAAATTTCCATGTTTTTCTTATGGAGGAATAAACTGTTGTAGTTTGCTTGTCCAAACAATGTACTTATAATAACATATTAATCATTTACCCTAATTACGAGAATAAAACAGCTACTGTATTTGTATTGTTATAGTTTTTACAAATATTTAACTTATTTGGTTTTAAGTAGGTTCTAGGTATTTGTTTCGTATTTTTAAAGTCTCGAAATTCACGACCATCAGGTGTCCCTAGGTTAGGTACATTTTGTCAGGGTGTTGGACATATTTGAATCAAATTGGGCAATTTTGTTTGTTTGATATTAAGCTATCAACATTTCAATCAAAATCACACCTCAATACATTCCCTGTAGGTAGGAAAATTAATGTTATTTAATTAGGAAATAAATCTGACAATCTTCAGGGAATATTTTAGTAGAAATCAACCAGGTAAATGGAAATTCACTTAGTCTGCAGACTGCAGGTTTTCTGGGGCAGGGGTATTTTATTGTTAAGTTAGCTTAGAGTTATATGGCGTAAAATATCGTAGCTCACTCATCCAAAATGTGTTTACCGGACTCGTATGGTAATCCCGCACTCGACTTCGTCTCGCACGGGAACGACTTCACTCCTCCAGTAAACACCTATTTTCAGGACTAGTAAAGTAATACAGTATACTATTTCGCCTTACTACACTGGTTTAACAAACTTTCTACGCAAGGATTTAGTCCAAAAAACAGCTGTTTGCCACCGGTTTTGGTTTAATCAAATGGGGTTTCAATACGTACTAGCATAGATAAAACATACTCCTCAAGGAGTATGTTTTATCATAGACTAACCAACACAAGTAGACTTCTCATCCCATTGTAAATTTTGAAGCACGTTTTTCGTGTCTAGTTCATGTACGTGAAACAAAGGCGCTAGTGTCGACGAAACTTCGTTTCTATTATTTTAGGGTTAATTTCTTGATTTGTGCTTTACTGTTTGGTTATATAACTAGGGGACAAGTTATTGTTTATGATTAAATCGTATTATTTGGTTAAACGAGGTTTTAAATGGCTGTAATAACGGGAAACAAATTGTAAACAAGACACGACCTCTACATAAACCGTACAGAACTAACAATAAAATTGTCTTCAGCTGTTCCATAAGGCCCGTATTACACTATCATAGTTCTATGACATATATCTATTATCATATGTCTTTGATGAAAATTATTACAGTGTAATGTACCAACTATTATAATGGTTTTGAACTATGACAATATGTTCTCCTTGAGAGAACATATTATCATATATTTGATAATATAATATGTCATAGAACTATGATAGTGTAATACCGGCCTAAGGATGAGAAATCTACTAAAGGAGTATGTTTTATCTATGGTACTAGTGCAGGCTGAAGAGGACGTGGTCCTAGAACAGCCTCAGTACGGTGGCGGTGGGGTTACGGCTCCTTAGGCTGAAACATCACGAAACTAATAACTACTACTGTCTACTTATTTATTTATTTATTCCAACGGCAACTATTTATTCTACTGTGCTGTAATGAGTTTTTACCGGACACCAGCTGATTATATTTGGCAATGAGTTTTTATAACAAAAACGTAATCTCTTATAGGGAAAGTTTTCAAATGTTGGCCATACTGCATCCGAAACAAGAGACTGGTCTGGAATATTGTTTTCTTACTCCCAGGATGCATTCCCACGGAATGGGCACACGGGAGGGACTAAGGCTAAAGGTGTAGTGACGTCATATCTCTGGTGGCTAATGTCTACTCTTGAGGCAACACGATTACCGTAACGAAACAAGAGTTTTCAGCGGCGTTCGTGGCATAGATCGTAGCGTATCGATTTGGTGTTCAAGAGGTTCCGGGTTTGAATCCCGCTGGTAACATTAAATTTTTGTCAAAAAATTTTTATATCAGCAAGTTTGGTTGGTTAGGTTAGGTTATGACAGTTTAATTTTATAATACTAAATTTTAAAATTAATTTAATAATTAATTAAAAATTATAAGTAATCATTAATTAGATTTTTATCTTATACAGTTTTTATATTATCACTGGTTGGTTAGGTTATGTTATGACAGTTTTATTTTAAAAACTAAAAATTTATTTTATAATTTTAAAACAATATTTTATAATTAAAAAGTTATTAATTTTTTCAACTTAGCCACCTTAGCGGTTCTAGCGGCGAACGCTAACCCTACAAGATATGTTAGCCTTAGTCCCTCCCGTGTGTCGCACCGGCATTCCCACTGTTCCCGTTCAAGCAACAGTTCACCAACTAAAACACCAACACAGTTCAACTTCAACACTTTGACACTTCAACAATTCATTTCAGTCGAACTTCTAGTAAAGTTCTCGTCTACTTCCTCTACATAACTGATAGGTCTGTGCATCTAGCTTAAACAATTATGGTAAGTTCTATCGACACTCTCATTCAAATTTAAGGATTAATAATGAAAGTTAACTTAAGTTAGTTTTAATGAAATGAAATGAAAATCCTTCTTTATTGAGGCGAACTTAGGACCTCATGGTCCTTTCTTACAGTTAACCTCTAACTTAAGTTTTAAGCTTTCAGATGCTTATATTTTGATGCTAAGATAGTGTTTGATGATAAATTAGGGTAGATGACAGATGTACAACTTTCAGTCATTGTTCAAATCAAATGAAATCATTTGCTAGTCTAACCTCTTTCACCAGCCAAGGCTTAGAGATTTAAGTTATAATGCCTGTAAATGCTTTAAAAGTCAGTTAAATGTTCACCTGATGATCAACACAAAGATGAAGTACTTAGCCTAGGCCTACATAGGCTTGTCTAGAGGGGTACAATTCCACAGAGAACCTGCGATGAGAGTAAGTAGGAAAACATGTCGCCCAAAACATTGAAGGGTGGTAGGCATAGTGGTAAAGGGGGGAGGGGTAAAATAAAACACGGGCTTAACTTAAATGTATGTTCTCAATCTCCTCATTGTATTCTTGAAGAATATTCAGGCTAGCCTAGATGTCTGCTGTTGGATGTATTTAGGTGATCATGAAATCAAGTTAAAGGAATGTGCTCTTCCAGTAAGGTATATTCATGGTCGTAGAAAAGCCTCCCTTGCATGTAAAAACCTAAATGTAAAAACAATCTAGACAGTTTAGTCAATTATAGTTAGCCTAATAAATAATAATAATATAATAATAACAAATAATAGGCTAACTAAAATTGAAAAAGTTGCTAAGTGCCAAGCGGTGCATAGTGGGCTCAATCTTTAGTGATAACTTAGTTGCTAAACACAATGGAGATATATGTGACTGTGCCTGGATCTAGCCTATTGAGTTAGATCTTAACGATGCAATGATGTGGCCTCATTTCAAAATTCTGATCTTTGAGGAAATTTCTGCCAAAATGGCTGGAGAGCTAAGTTTTTAAGTAGGCCTACTCTCGAGGGTAAAAATTGAATTTGGCGCGTGGAACTAATTGGCAGGACATGGAATCTATTGAAATGCACATTTCCCGTTTGGTTGTTAGACATTTCTGAGTTTGCTTTACAGGATATGCTCTGTTAGTGGCGTGTTATAGTAGATGATAAGACAAACATTAGAATCGGAAGGGTTCGAGGTTTGCACAGGAGCCTAGAGGATATTATTTTGTAGGGGTTGCCTTGAAGCACTATGCGTCACTAGACAATAACAGTAGCTTTAGAAGACAAAATATTGAGGGTTGGAAATATCAAATTGAACAAAGATAGTCTAGACTAAATTGTAGGGTAGAAGGGGGGAATTGGGTACTAGGTTTTGTAAAATGTACTTTGTAGGCTAAAACAAATTGAATCACTTTACAACTTTTATGCCTTCATTTAAAGGCTTCCAATAGACATATTTTCACTTATTTTCAGACCTGCAAGTTGTTTTGTTCTATTAAAAAAAATATATATATTTTTTTCATACCCAAGGGGGGAATTGGGTACTACACCTATTATACATTAAAATGACCTATTAAAAATTCTGGGAAAATGGGTGTTATTAAGAAAACACAAATAAGCATTTTAAGACAAGTTTTAGTCTCTTATCATTATTTTTGACAATTTTATAGAGCGTTAAAGTTAATTTTTGAAAACTTTACAGTTTTTCAAAGATATTTCTTTGTAATAAATCCTTATAACCTAGGGTTGTAAAAATTGTATTAATTGTAGCTTCTTAGACATACTTAAACATAAAACAAGTTGGATTATTCTAACTTATTAAAAAAAAAAGTTATAAGAAGACAAAACTTTGAAAAAAAGTGCCCATTTCTGCGCTTTTAAACAAAGTTAAACTGTTAATCACCAGACACACTTAAATAAATTAATCCTTTTAATAAGTTACTTTAGGCTACTTGTTCAAAGTCCATAAAAATATGGTTTTTGCTTCAAAACTAATTCCAAACCTAATTTGTTAAATAGTTTTTTACTGTCTTATGGTTAGTGATGTAAAATACCCGGGTATTTAAAACTCGGGGTAAATACCCTGGGTATTTACCCGGGTAAGTACCCAAAATCCATAAATACCCGGGTATTTTGGGTATTTATGAAATCGATTGAAATTCATTTATATTTACCCCTTAATATATTATTGTTATAATTACATGATTAATTAGGATAGTCTATAACACCTTTTACAGTAACTTAAAGCTTTGCTATAGTAGGCTTCCTTTTATTTAATGATTTAGCACTTTTTTTTAATAATACATAAAGTTTCTAAATAAGCATGGGGTTTTGTGTCTTAAATCGAGTAACATCAGTTATATTTAACTTACTAAAAAATAGTATATTAAAAAAAGGCTGTGGCTATTTCAATTTTTATCATTTTATAAATTTATAACCAATTAAACCAATAAAAAAAATTATAAAATTATTTATAACATAAAAAAATTATTTTGATTTATAAATATCCAGGAATTGTTGAAAGATTTATTGTGCTATAAATTCAAATGTTTTGTATCACAAGTTTTAGTTTTTTTTATTTTGATACCATTGAGAGGCCTACCAACAAAATGTCTAGAACAAAAATATTATTAAATCCTGCCATCCTACAGATTGAATTTTAATTATTTTCTTAAGTTGCCACTACTAGGTTAAATTTTCCTTGTCTTTCTAAATAATAATTATTACTTTACAAATTATTTTTCTTCACTTTCAATAAAATAAATCGTTTCTATCTAGCATAGAAATTAAAAAATCATAAGTAGTCAGGACCAGTGCAACCATGGGACCAGGGTATTTATGCCAATTATGCTTTATGCTCAGACCTGGGTATTTATGGCGATTGTACCCAGAAGTAAAATGCTAGTAGTGACTATATGAAATTTTGTTCAACACATTTTATCATAATTTTACTATCCTTACAGGGTAATAATTGAAAAAAAAAATCTCAATCTTCTCTAACTTTAATAAAAATTATAAATACCCGGTTTTTGGGTATTTACCCAGGCCTGGGGTAAATACCCAGGTAAATACCCAATTTATATTTACCTACCCACTGGGTATTTACCCGGCCCACATCACTACTTATGGTCTTCTGCCTCTAAGCCGATGTGACGGGGGAATTGGGTACTAAGCCATAATTTCTTTAATATTCAATGCACAGAAGTCATACCAACCTAAAGCAATTCTTAACTACCCCCTAAAAGCATATTCTAACTAAAAAAAAAAAACAAAAAAAAAACAGATGTATTGTTATCAGGCAAAAAAATATAGTACCCATTTTCCCATGAGGGGGCAATTGGGGACTAACATTTTCAACCCCTAAAATATACACTTAAAAGTCGATTTAAAAATTCCTAAACTTCAGAAAATTAATATTAGTATGTATACTTTGCTCTTATGAGATAAAAGTAAATATTTTGCAGTAACTGAAATTTTTATAGTGTTTCCAAGGTTACTCGGGCCAAGTTTGATAGGCACTTTAAAAATTGAAAAACGTGAGGGGTGAACAAATTATTTTTTTACTCGTTTCAATTTCAAGATAACAACCTAAAATAAATTTAAGGTTTATAAAACATAACTAGCTATCACTACAGATTTTTTCATTCTTTCTAATATAAGGCATGTATTTTTTTAAACATTTCAAAAAAGTTCATACCCAATTCCCCCCTTCTACCCTAAATAAGCACTGAGTGAAAATTTTGAAACGTACGTTTTAATTTCCCTGGCCTTTTACTTCGTAGATACTGTATTTATAGTACATTATGTGTTTTAATATTTTTCGGGAAGGGGGCAACATGTTACAAATATTGAACTTATTTGGTTTTAAGTAGGTTCTAGGTATTTTTTTTGTACTTTTAAAGTCTCGAAATTCACGACCATCAGGTGTCCCTAGGGTAGGTACATTTTTCAACTTTCACGCTGTTTTTAGACTAATTGTTCATGCCAAAATATATAAAGCCATATTTTTATGTCATCAATATTTATTAAACTTACAAAAAAGGAGCATATAATAATTTTGTTTCCATTGCAAACTGACTGCCATGACTAAATAGGTCTGTCCCTCGATTTGACGACCAATAGGCAAAAATTTGCAACTTTGGAGCACGACAGTGACAAGCCTGGCGTCGATGGAGTCAGTTGGTTTTAGAGACTAGTTCGGGGTGTACGTCAGGATTGTAGTGCCGGTCGTTTCGAGTTGAAAGGAGGAATTAAAAGATTAATAAAGGCAAGTTTGTGTTTTTTGTAATTTTGGTGTGTCCATGACCGTACGTAGTAATTTTATGAAGTAGACATGGTGTTAATTTTTGTTTATAAGATATTTCAATTGCTAGATTAACCTAGAAATACACTTTGCCTCCTCAAACATGTTAGGTGTATGGCTGCCACCAGAACAGAGGAATAATACATGATTTCACGACCAGGACATCACGACCATCACGGGTTTTTTCACGACCAAAATAGCTTTATCAATTGTACTATGTTATGGTCGTGAAAATAAATTGTAATATCATTGTAAATTGCACAGTTTAGTTTAATTGCAACACACAATTTTCTTATAAAAGTACAACTAACTGAAAGATGTAAAAAAATAGATTTTGAACTATTTTTACATTAGACAGGTATCTTTATTGCCTCATATAAGTTAAGCTTATAGTGTATAGGAGTTATGTGTAAAACTATTACATTAAACAAATTAATTATGGTTTATCAAGTCTTGTGAAATATTATAATAATCAGAGTAATGGAAGGAAACCCTAAATAAACCCTATAGTGATTCTCGTTAATCACCAATTCCAGACCGTAACACTTGTCCCTGACCACAACGTTGATGATTTGGATCATGAAAAATTCAAAAATTGATATATCATCATATTTCAATGTTTTATACACACAAGAAGGGTGCCTCTTTAGAAACATAAAGGTTTTTCATACATCGGGAAGGTTTGTTTGGAGCTATACAAACGTAGAGAGATTTTTTCTGCTTTTTAAAATTTTTTGTTTGTTTTTGGATTTTTTTTAGAAATACCAAATATACCAAAAGCTTTTGAGCTGTTTATTGCAAAATGGCCCTAAAACTAAATCTATTTACAGCAAAACATATTTATAAAAATACCATTTAACTATTTTTAATATTCATTTTTAAGTTCGTTATGGTCGTCACAGAATTTTGTGTTTTTCCGTCTAAGATGCTGTATTAATAAAAAAACACCAAAGATATTGCGTTACCATAGACATTTTATGAAACTTCAAATGGCAATGAAATAAAAATAATAAAAAACATTTAGAGAAAGAGAAAAAAATTATTATAAAGTGCTTTTCTTGAAAACGTACGTTTTTAAATTTTCACTCCACTACGGAAATTAAGTATCGTGTGCACAAAACTACTAAAAATTTCATCGACATTGAAAAAATTTGAGGATATAGCAATAACGTATGGTCCCCCTACAACCTCCGAACAATTTTTAGGTCTTGTGAGTTGTGACCTACTTATGTTAAACATCTGCTCAACTTATCTTATGAACACACAACTTCTAAATGTTATAAAAGTTTTAACAAAATATTGTATTTTAGCTGTGAACATAGACAACTTAGGCTTTAAGCCTAGAGTTTCCCTTTCGTAAAGCCTGAATTTTCACCTAGCCATTGTACAATGCATTGTAGCAATACAAACTTGGTAAACATTTTTTTATTTATTATTGGTAAAAATTGTGACTACTATTTCCCCCCAGGAAATGTATGTCACACAGGTTTGGTTTAAGGTACTGTCCTTACATCATTTTTGTATTGTTCCTTTGATTATACTGGACTAGATTGAGTGACACACACATCTTGAATGAACCCATACCATGGTGAAAACGCAGCTACGATAACACTAACTAACCGCGATCTTCGTTTTATAAAATAGGAATATTTTAAAATATATATTCCATCAATAAGCATTCCATCAATAACAATGTTTCTCGAATGCCAAAATGACATAATTGGATGTTATACTACAACTTTCTTCAACATTGGTGAACAAATTTTGTTCTACTGCATTAGCCTAATATTAACAAAAATAATAAAAGAGCTGAACATTCTCAAGAATAGCAAAATCCTTTTGGTCTATGAACCCAAAATAACTACAGTACTTTAGCGCCAGCCACAATTCTTGCATTGAAAATAGGCCTACGTAGCAGCAAGAAAACATTTTCTTTAGGTATCATAAGCCAAGTAACTGTGTATAGTTTTGATCAAATAAAAACGGTATTTTAGTAAACTATTTTCTTTCGTTTCAGGATGACATTAACCCTGTCCACACCACTGACAGCAAACAGCCCGGTCACACCACTGAGAGCAAACAGCCCGACCACACCACTGACAGTAAACAGCCCGTCCACACCACTGACAGCAAACAGCCCGTCCACACCACTGACAGCAAACAGCCCGTCCACACCACTGACAGCAAACAGCCCGTCCACACCACTGACAGCAAACAGCCCGTCCACACCACTGACAGCAAACAGCCCGTCCACACCACTGACAGCAAACAGCCCGTCCACACCACTGACAGCAAACAGCCCGACCACACCACTGACAGCAAACAGCCCGTCCACACCACTGACAGCAAACAGCCCGTCCACACCACTGACAGCAAACAGCCCGTCCACACCACTGACAGCAAACAGCCCGTCCACACCACTGACAGCAAACAGCCCGTCCACACCACTGACAGCAAACAGCCTGTCCACACCACTGACAGCAAACAGCCCGTCTTCCAACCCACCACCGACCACTTTGTAAGTAATTGGTAAATTTCTCCATAGGTCGATTTTAATTCAGAGTCTTTGTTTTGGATTAGACCTTAATGATAAAGTACTTAAATCACTCGTTTTAGTGAATTTCCCTATAGGGAAGTAGCTATTAGTGTAGGTGGTTTGGTAAGACCTAGGCCCGGGACCGTTTTACTTTATTTTGATGTCCCCAGAGGCCAAAAACACTATTCGTTCAAAATGTCATATATTTATATATAATTAAGTGAAATAATAAAAAGCAGAGTACCCTGAAATTCATTTGTATTAAACTTATACATATTTCGGCACCAAGGCCATGATCACAGTATTAGTTGTTAAAAGTATGTAAACAAAATATAAATAAATAGTTAATAACATATGTTTTGAATTTATAGTAAATTTTGATTAGGGCCTAAATGGTTAGGTGTATTTTTTATGTGAATATATAAGATTCTTGCCTGATTTGTCTGATTTTTTCATGAATTGGATTTTGTTTTTGATTTTACATTACATGGAGAATTTGGTCACCGTGTTCTTTTGAGTGTAGATGGATTAGCAGTTCTTTTATATCCATTTTCCCCCTTTTTTTTTCATAATTTAGAATTTCAACACATTCTTTTAATTTGCTATAATTATGATTGTTTTTTAATATATGTTCTGCGTAGGTACATTGAATGTTGGCATGTTTGATTGTTTGATTTTACGGCTTGGATATCTCCTTTGAATCTGCATGACAATGCTCTTCCACTCTGACTAATGTAGAATTTGGGATAATTTAGACATTTAATTTTGTATATTCCAGATTTTGTTATATTTTTCAATTGTAGGCCTATGTGGGTTCTTGTTAGATAGTATATTAATGAAATTAAATGCGTTGTTTCTAGATCTATAGCTAATTTTGAATTTAGATGCTTTAAATGTTTTTCTCCTGTCGCTCACGTAGGACCGGGTCTTAAATCTCTTTGTTTTGGTTATTGGTTATTGCTATTGGTTCTTGGTTACTCCAAACCTCGTTTTAAACTTCCATATGATATCAGTTCAAAGCTTTAAATTCTTCACCTCTTCACTAGTTATTGGTTGTTTGTCCAAAGAGGATAATTAATTTTATTTTATATCTTGTATTTCAGGATGATGAGAACCAACAATACCTACCTGATGATCAATACGATCAGGCGATACTGTACGGTCCTGATGGTATTCCCCTCACTGAGGAAGAAGAAGAATTTCTGGAGAATGAAGTTTTTTTAGCAAGTTTGATTAGGTAACATACAACTTTCTTTTTTAGTGAATTTCCCTATAGGGGAAGTAGCTATTACCATAGGCGGCACGGTAAGACCTAGGCCTGGGACCGATTTACTTTTTCATTTTGATGTCCCCAGAGGCCAAAAACACCATTTGTTCAATTTTTTATATATGTGTATATATATATATACATCCGTGAACGCGATAACTTGAGTAATTTTTGTTTGATTTTGATCAAATTTGGTCTTAAGGTGTAAGGCAGAATAAACTTGAATCAGTTCGGGAACCAGCATGATCGGACCATGGAAACAGGGTTTTACGGGGGCTTTTATTGGGTAAGTAAATGGTTTTTCTCATTTTTGACACTCAAAACAAAAAAATGTCCCAATTTCTTTCTAGACCTTTTTCAAGAGCTTAAAAAAACAAATAATGTAGTATATCAAAGTGTTTTTGTACGGTTATTGGTAACGGAGAACATTAAGAAAATTGTAAATTTAAAATTCCCGTGTTAAGTTATTCTTATTTAGATGCTTTAAATGTTTTTCTCCTGTCGCTCACGTAGGACCGGGTCTTAAACCTCTTATTAGTATTTATATAGTGTTTATTAGTATTGTTAAATGTTGTATTTTGCTTGTTTATTAATATATTTGGATCATACTTGGCTAATTTATTTATTTTATACTAAGCTATTAATATTTTACAAAACAACTCGCTTTATTAGTTTCCTTGTAGCAGCAAACCTAGGTAATCGTTAAACCTAATGTTATTTAAAAAGATTTGATTGAAAATCAATTCAGACAAATGGAAATTTGCTTAGTCGGCAGGTTTGCTGCGGCGGGGGTATTATGCTTTCACATCATGTCCAAAATGTAAAATAAAATTAAGCTTCCATTCACACTTAGACTATTCATCACACAAAATGGCATTATTATTATAGGGATGGATGATGTCCTAGCCATCACAGTTTTAAAAAAATATTTTTAACTACCACATCTAAGTTCTCCTGCAATAGTTTTTTTTTCCTTTCCTACACTGCAATGGTAAATCAGGAATATACAAGTATGGCAAAATGTAGAAAATACACTTGTGTGCAGGCTTAGTAACACACACATATATATTAATTATTCAAAGTACAAACACATGTGACGATAATAATATTTTCCCATCAAATGCACTATTTTGTAAGCAATTTAGTAGCACCATTAATTGTCCTAGTTGTACCAATGGGTTGCATTCAGGGTGGCCAAAGACGAAACTATGAATTTTAAAATTTTACCTGGAAACCCTGATTTTAGTGCCATTTTGTTACAATATGGATTTAAGATGAATTTAAAAGGGTTTAAACACCCAGCCATGTACTGCTTGCGTAAATGCTCATGAAACTCCATTTGCTCATTAAAAAATGACTACTTAATCATTAATCCAGTGTAAGTAAATTGCTGAGTATTGATGAATAGACAATTCAATGTCAGGCGACCGACAAGAGCAAAAAGTACGTCATTGCAGTAGCTCATACGGATCAACCCGCTATCCCGCCATCAGGGCATCAATTTTGTTTAGTTTGGCTTATTAAAAAGAAGATTCTATTCAAAACATGTGTCCAGAGTAAAATATTTGATTGACCTAAATTTTAGATACAAAAACAAAATCTTCTATACCGTATACTAAGCCCAATTAAATAAAGATTGTGTCAAAATCAGAATTTCTTACTCCTGTTCTATAAGTTCTATATGGCAACATGGAATCAGGTGGAAGTTATGTCTTATGTCGGAAGCAAGAAAACCAATTTTTTTGCTTTATGTATTTGGACCAATATATTTAATTTTGGGTATTTTTTTACCAAATATTGATTGATAGCCCAAAGCACAGGCATGGCTGCATATATGCCCTAGTTGGATTTTGACTTTTATTTATGCAGCTGCCTGCTACATCACAATAGTAGTATATTTCATTGACAAGGACGGGAGGACAATGAAACAACATACTGTAGGCCTAAAACAAGCCTGTGGTTGTGTAATGGGTAACCATGATAACATGTTGTGTGAATTCTAAGCATGTCATCTGATTGGTCTGGTTCTGAGATCGTGTATATTCGGCATTCTCTGTATTCACTTTGTGAGTCTACTCCAAATGGGTGGAACTTCTGCATCCTTTTGATTCACTAATGTGACCTGTATAGTGTGTAATTTCATCTTTTACTTCTGTCGGAGGAATCCTCTCCTCCGAGTGGTTGGGATCTTCTTCCTTTCCAGGCAACTGGAAGGGGGAGGATTTATCTTGAATCATGGTTGTGAGTTTGTGCCATGATCCATTCATTCCTGCTGCTGCAAGATGTTGGGCCCACTCGGTGTCCTTCACCCTAGCCTAGGACTATACAACATAAAATTGCTGCTCGCTAACTCTGAGAGTTTTTCAACTGACAGATTTACATAGGCTGCCTTTAGCCTGTCACCGTGGTAGGCTGTGTCTAAAGACACAGTACATTTCAGCTGCTCACAACTACAACGTTCCTGTGTTGGTCTAGCCATGAGACCCTTTTCCAAACTAAGGGGCTTATACTCATCTCCTGTTATATTAATAAAACTACATTTGTGTCTGCATTTTTCTTAGAGATCAAGATCAAGATAGTGAGGATGACTACGACGAGGCCCTTGAACAATTCCTTCTGAGTTTGAAGGTAAGCTTTTAGACTTATTTCAGAAAACTATCTATGAACAAGGGCGGTCCCAGGGAGAGGGGGGGTCAAGGCGGTCATGACCCCCTTAAAATCTTTTTTTACAGATAAACTATTATACAGTATATGTTAAAGGAGAACTTTAAATTAAGTTTATTGCACATCAACACATCAGTTGAAAAGGTATTTTCGCAGATCAATAATGCTTGGGGGAATAGATGGTACCTTTATGTGAGAGAAATACATAAAAATCAATTCAATTTAATTTTTATTAATTCTTTATTTTAAACTGAATGTATTGCATTTTTCGTGGTATTCCTTAGTTTTTAAAGCAATGTGATAATGGAATTCCACAAGTCTCAATAATACAAAAACTTCAAATTTGTCATGTTTTTTTTTTTAAGATTTTTTGAACCTTAAATAATAATCTAAAAAGCTTGTTCATTAAACTAGGTTGATTTATCTGAGGATGTCTCAAAATAGCTTTAAAATTGTTCATTTAGGCCTAAGACGCACATCATTTTCAAACATTTCTTTGGATGGTATTCCTTACCCTTCAGGCCCTCTGGCAACCACCCCCAGAATTTAGGTCTAGGACCACCATTGTCTATAAACTTACCAAGTAGGCCTACTTTAATTTTTTTTTTTTTTTTTTTTTTAAGAGGTTGGCGGCCTCTTTTAACCTTGCATTTGCCCGTCCACATAGACTCATACATATGTATACATACATATACATATATGTATTACATACATTTATTTTAGTATTCCAAATATGTGCCATATTTTAAATTATTGTGCATAATATTGAAATTTTGACTAATTACAAAGGTGTTTTCGTATTACCAATAATATATTTTTATGTTCCACTTGCTATTTGTTCTGTTGAAAACAATTTGTTCATACATGTTACAAAAAAAAAAAACAAAAAAAAAACAAACAAGATATTTGGCATTTTTATACCTAGCACCACCATTTCACATTTTCTAAATACTTTCAAACAGGTTTCCCAAATTAAAACACTGGAACTGTTTGTTTACTGCAATTGACACGAATAGAATGTAGTGTTGAAGTTTTATTCATTCATTACCAAATAACAGTTGTAGGTTTTAAAACGCATAAAATTAATGTGAATTATAAAAAAAAATCTATTCTGTCTGACACCTATAATATACACTCTGTGTTAACAGACGCAAAGAAATAACTAACACTAATAATGTTTTCTTTTCCAGAAAAAATAAATCTGAAGCATAGTCAGTTACGGATTTTAGGTACGGTACTTGTGCCCCATAGAACTTGAACTTGAGTGTGGTTCCCGCCCCATTGGTGGAACATCTCCCGTGATCACCATCATTACCCGCAATTTGTTTTTTAATAAAAAAAAAAATGTATTTAGTTTCCTAGAGGTAAATCTGGCACTGAGCGTAGTCAACCTAAATAACAGTCGAACACTTTGCTTTGTTTACAAAATATTTAAATTTTAATCTTGTCTTAGAGGAGAGCTAAATTATCATTGCTTCACAAATACACCTTAAATTCAATCAGTTCTTGATTCAAAGCAGTAAATGGTTGTGATATTTTTCCCTTAAGTATTAAAAAGAGCGACAAAAAATGTTTTATTTCTTTAGGTGGTTTCAGATTATTGTTCATAAAGGAGTTCATTTTACCCACAAAGAAGTTTCGTTTTTATGTTACCCACAAAGAAGTTTTGTAACTATGTTTCCCACAAAGAAGTTTTGTGTTCATTTTTCCCACAAAGAAGTTTTGAGTTCATTTTACCCACAAAGAAGTTTTGTGTTTATGTTATCCACAAAAAAGCTTTGTTTTCATTTTATCCACAAAGTAGTTTTGTTTTTATGTTATACACAAAGAAGTTTTTTTGTTCATTTTACCCACAAAGAAGTTTTGTTTTTATGTTATCCACGAAGAAGTTTTGTTTTTATGTTACCCAAAAAGAAGTTTTGTGTTCATGTTACCCACAAAGAAGTTTTGTGTGGTCTTTAATCTACGAAAAAGGTATTGTAAGTTTCTACCCAATATGGGAATGTACTCTAATCTCGAGTTGATTAGGGCAAAGTATTTGTTCTCATAGGTTATTTGTAACAAAAGTTTCTTAGAAACAAATTTTCTTGTTTGTAAAGAAATTTTCTTATTTTGCAGCTTAGCATAATCTAATATATTAATTAGTTTAAAAAGTGAATTATAGTACCTGTAATGAATTATGCTATTTCATTAACACATTACAGTACTTTTGTTTGTTGTTAGTTTTGACTTTGTATTAAATATGTTTTTATAATTGTTTGTCAATTCATTTTCTTCACATTCCCATATATTTCCATGTTCTTCTAAATAGCTAATAATATTATTAGTCTCCTTTAAAAGTTGATTTACAAAAGATAGACACAAGAAGATTACAATTTGTACAATTATTGGCAACAATACTGTATTTTGATCTGAAGACAGGTATGGGAGTGAAAATTTTGAAACGTACGTTTTTATATCCCTGGCCTTTTACTTCATAGATACTGAATATGTAGTTTATCATTGTTTTTAAATATTTTTGGGACGGGGGCAACATGTCACACACAATTATTTGGCTTTAAATAGGTTCTAGGTATTTTTTTTCGTATTTTTAAAGTCTCGAAACTCCCTAGGGTACATTTTGCAACTTTCATGCTGTTTTTAGAATAATTATTCATGTCGAAATGATTACATTAATAGTTATTAAACTTACGAAAAAGGAGCATATGATAATTTTGTTTTCATTGTAAACTGACTACCATGGCTAAATAGGTCTGTCCCTCGATTTGACGACCAATAGGGAAAAATTTGCAACTTTGGAGCATGACAGTGGCAAGCCTGGCGTCGATGGAGTCAGTTGGTTTTAGAGACTAGTTTGGGGTGTACGTCAGGATTTAGTGCCGGTCGTTTCGAGTTGAAAAGAGGAATTACAAGATTAATAAAGGCAAGTTTGTGTTTTTTGTAATTTTGGTGTGTCCATGACCGTATGTAGTCATTTGATGAAGTAGACATGGTGTTAATTTTTGTTTATAAGATTTTTAAATTGCTAGATTAACCTAGAAGTCCGCTTTATATCCTCGAACTTGAGGTGCAGGGCTACTGCCAGAACAGAGCCAAATAACACGTAATGTCACGACCAAAGTTTCACGACCATCGCGGGTTTTTTCACGACCATTCCAGCCTTATGGATTATACTGTGTTTGGTCGTGACAATAACTTAAATATTATTGTAAATTGAACAGTTTAGTTCAATTGAAACACATATTTTTATTATAACTAACTGTATAATTGAAGGATTGTTTAGAAAGATTTAGATTATTCCAGACTGTACCGCTTGTCCCTGACCATCACGTTTATTTCTATCACAAAAATTTCAAAAATTAAAAAATCATAATTCAAGAATCAAGAGCTTTATTGTCATTGACCTTTTACAAGGAATAGACATAGTCAACAATAGAAATAAAAACTAAAGCTATAAAAATCAGTGGGTTCTAAATTAAAAATTAATATTAACATCAGAAACTAAATACTCTGTTATACAGTAATATGGATTTTGGATGATCCACTCAAACATTTTAGACTTAAACCTATTAAAAGGAACCTGTTTTACTGCCAGACCTAATTTATTAAAAAACGTATGCAATTTATTTTATGGCAGTTATCTGTTTTGGCCAATCTATGGGCAGGGATATCTAGATTGGATTTGCCTCTTGTATTGTAAGAGTGTATACTCTCTCTACAAGTGAATTGATGAAGAGTGGCTTAAGTGTAGAGGAGTATGTAAAAAATATACAAATTTACTACGGTCATAATTTTATAGTTTATAAAAAGAAGTAGACAGCTATCCACAGGGCCAGCCCCACAGATTGTTCATAAGACTTTTTTTGTAATAAAAGAATTTCATGGGTGTGATTTCAATGTTCTATACACCAAAGAAGCACACTTCTATAAAAACTTAACGATATTTCGGGTCTCAGATAAGTTTTTTCGGAGTTATACAAACTTAAAAAGATTTTATTGCAAACTCAAAGCTTTTTCCAATTTTTTGAGTTTTTTAGCGAATTTCCCTATAGGGAAGTAAGCTATTACCGTAGGTGGCATGGTAAGACCTAGACCCGGGACCGATTTACTTTTTCATTTTGATGTCCCCAGAGGCCAAAAACACCATTCGTTAAAATTTTTATATATGTATATAAATATATACATATATAGATATATATATATATATGTGTCCGTGAACGCGATAACTTGAGTAATTTTTGTCCGATTTTGATGAAATTTGGTTTAAGGGTGTAAAGGATAAACTTGAATGAGTTCGCGAACCAGCATGATCGGACTATGGGAACGGGGGTTTATGGGGGGTTTTATGGGGTAAAATAGGTTTTTCCCATTTTTGACCCTAAAAACACAAAATTTCACAATTACTTTGCAAACCATTATGTAGAGCTTAAAGAAACTAATACTTTAGTATATTGAAGCGTTACTATGCGCCTAAGGGTTATGGCGAAAATTCAAAAAAATTTTAATTTTAAAATTCCCATGTTATTCTTATGGAGAATAAGTCAACTGTTGTAGTTTGCTTATTTATGAACATATTTTGATCAAATAACTAAACTACAGTACCTATTAACATTTTACATTAAAAAACACTTTTTTACCCTCCCTGTTGCAGCAAACCTAAGTACTCGTTAAACTAATTCTATTTAAATAGGGAATAAATGTGATATATTTAAGGAGACATTTTAGTATAAATCCAATGAGGCAAATGGAAATTCGCTAAGTCTGCAGGTTTGCTGCGGTGGGGGTATTATTTTTTTCTAGAAAGACCAAATATACCAAAAGCTTAGTGAACTGGTTATTGTATAATGGCCCTAAAAGTAATTTAATTTATAGCATAACATAGTTATAAAAATAATATTAACTATTTTTAATAGGTACCTATTCAGTTTTATGTCCGTGACAAAATTTTGTGTTTTTTCATCAAAGATGCTCTATTAATAAAAAATCACCAAAGATATTGTGTTACCATGGACATTTTATAAAACTTCAAATGTTAATGAAATAAAAAAAAATAAAAGTTTCAAAAAACGGAACAAAAAATTTTTAAAGTGCTTTTCCTGAAAACGTACGTTTAAAAATTTTCACTCATGGACACTTATTTCACTTGGTTACATAACATGTCTAAGAGTCTTTCTCAAATGTCGAATAAGAATTTGGGGAATCTTCAATATAATGATAAGTTATCATTAAAATAAAATATGTACATTTTAATAAATAAAATAATGTTCTCAGAATTTTTCTAATACAAACAATAAAGAAATAGGCTTTGGTTTGAATATAAGTAGAAAATAGCAACATAGAATCTTTCTAATGACTTATTCGGATAGGGGCTTTTGTAAATGGGACCAGGCCCAGGGGCGCAAGATGTTTTAGGTTTGTTGGGGGAACTAAGAAGAGGAAAGTTCCCCCACAATGTAAGTAAGTGGAGAGGGGCCCAATTATCTCTCGGGTCCATAGTACATCACATGCGAACTGCAGGCCTGATTCTAATTATTAATATTCAACAAAATTATTGCATCTCAACACAGGTTTTCTTTTGATTTCATTTTATTTTTCTTCCCGTGGTTGTCAGTGTGGGGTAAGATACAAGAATTCTGTTGAAATGGGTGGTAACTGCCTAGTTTTTATTTCACAAATGGATGGATTACTTTTCACTCTGTTAACCAACAGTGGTTCTATTTGACCTTTTTTGCAGTTTGACCTGTTCTAGTTTTTTTTATTTTTTTATTTTTTTTATAATTGTAGTATTTCTAAATTAACAGTAATAAATAATTTACATGCCTGGCATAACTAAGAAACATGTAGTGTAGTGCTGGCCAGTAAAGGAGATTGGGGATTTTTTTTTTATTAGTGATATAATTTGTCAATTCAATCTTAAATTTAATTGCTATTTCGTATTTATTGATGCCTATATACACTTTTTACTGCTGCAGCTAGGTTTTCCTGTTATTTTTTTACCCTTATGTTTTGGTTTTTTGAACTGAAAAGCAATATTTGTGTTTTATTTCAACCCAGAAGTCAAAGTATACAGCTGTGCGGGTTTACTGTAGAGTGAAGAGTGACATTTACATGTGAGTGTGGTTGCTTGTGTTTTCTTTTGTGAATGTTTCTTTTCCTTATATTCCTGAATGACTAATCAAAATGTATAAGAAAGACAATGATGAAAGTTCTGCGTGGTATTTTTTTTTGTTTTTTTCTTAAGACAGCAAGGTGTGCAGTGTCAAATTTGTAAGGCCAGTTGAAAAAATTAGGAGACTCCACACTAATTTGAAATTGCTAAAATAATAAAATCCCATGATTGGCCAAGACCAATCCCAAAATCCTCGGATTTGATTAAAGTTTTGGAATTAAGACCCCTAATACTGTTTTGCCCCAAGGAATCTAAATATTAAGCAGCTAAATGCACTTGATAAAATTCTTAGTAACCAATCTTAAACACAACAACTTTCTGACAACCTTTCTAGGCTATTGAAATATGACCAGTTCATAGGGCTTTCTTAAATAAATGTATGGCTATATAGTTTGAATTTAACCCAAATTCATGCCATACCCAATCCCTTTAATAAGTAGGTAAATCTACATAAAAAAATAATATTATACTTTGCCTTGCTTTTATTCAAATCTTGGTATTATTGTGGTATTATATGTAAAAGGTAAAATTAACTGTCCAAACTAATATAAAAACAAGTTATGTTAAAAAAAGCATCTACCAGTTGTGATGTTTGGAAAAAATAATCTGCAAAGAAAACAAATATTGAAATACTTACAAATACATTAACTTTATTGCACAATAGATGTTTGGATTGTTTTTATACAATGGTTGACTAGTGGACTAGTATATTGATAATATATACATTAAAAGATTACATAAGTTAAATGAGTATATTGATGTGAGGTATTGATATTATCATATTATTGTTTGTGCAAGATAAAAATGTATAATAAAAGAGTTAAAACTAATATAAGTCTAATTGAGGAACTAATACAACGTAAATCATTACACAGGTTTACTGTATGGTTACCGGATTATTATGATACATTTGCATCATAAAGAGCAAAGTTTTACATCACTGTAATACTGTAATGATGAAATATAATATAACAATTTACCATTATGATGATAAAACACATCAACAGTTCATACCTAGACACCCTCCTGCAGGATAAAAGACGACAACAAATCAACAATATTTTAAATAATCAACCCCTAAAACAATATAATGTTTAAATAACTGGCAAAATTATAGTCATTATAGCCATGGAAGTGAGAGGTCCGAATACACAACCTCACCTTCAAACCGTACCTCAACCTACCACCAACAGCCCCATAGAAAATCATCCCCGGTCTGCACCCGAGCTTTCACGTCATCTGTTGAACCCCTCCCTAGGTATTATTGTTAATGAAATGTGTAAATAAAACAATGTTCCTGATTATGCCACAAAACTGGTAAAATGTACATCAGGCTTCACTACACTTCAACCTAGCAAAAATAAAGGTAAACAATCATAATTATTTGTTCTCGGAACTGGGAATACTACACAAAATTTTAATAATTACATTTACAATTTTAATGATCCACAAGAGTGCATGAATAATTCTGGTCGGTCCATGCCAAAACCACTATACACACAATACACACAACTTATTGCTTACTGGTCTGGGAGTTAAATGAGAATTTGTTCTAACTTATTATTACCGGTATACAGTTTAAAATCACATCATATCTAACGTAAAATAATATTTTAAATGAAAATGGACACAACTGTTCTAACTGTAATAGAATATCAACATGACTGCATTTTGATACATTAAAACGTATATTTAAATATAATTTGACAAATTGATTGTTGAAAATACCAACTTGAGAAACGTTTACATTAGGTATCTTGTCTTTCACATAATCAACTAAGAGAGAAATAACAAGTTAAATATTTGTTAAGTGATGGCAGTACCTTATAAAAGAAGTAAAACATGATTTGATTGATTTCTATTTCAAATTTGTTAAGAGTAAATAAAATATGTCTAATAACACTTAAAACATATATTTACACTTATACAGTCAACTCACAGGACGGTAAATATATATAAAAAATTGTAAGTGGTGATTTCGATTGGATACTCAAATCATTAGACCCAATAGAAATTTTTTATTTTATTTAGCTCTGTAAATTTAATAACACGTACAATGCTGATCAAGAATTTTTTCTAATTTATATTTTATAATTTTTTCTAAATGTTTTTTTTAAGCAACATTGGCAGGTTGAATATTGATGGATTTCTGTGGTAAGTATAGATGTTTACTCGTTGTGTATAGTTGGCTCAAAACGTAGAGACACACCCCCTCAGGTAGAATGGGCCGTCCTAATCCCCTGTTGACATACCCATAGACTCATAGATTACGGGTTTTCCAGTAGCACTGGACAAAATTTATAGAAGTTAAGCGAAAACTGCGTTATGTCGGCAACAGTACATCGTAGAACTGTGATTAAAATGGTTTTTTTATTCGTCTAAGTAAGACAAAAAATGAGCCATCATTCGATTATGTATGTCTAATTACAAGCCAACACAGCCAGTTGGGTTTTTGTGTTTTGCAATTGATTGAAAATTACAGTGTGACACAGATTTTCGTGGGATGCTCGCATTCTGGGGTGGACGCCACTAGGACGACCCCATTCTACCTGAGGGGGTGTCTCTCTAGATTTTGAGCCAACTGTATGTATCTGTCTCCTCAAACCTTAATTGATTAAGGTTCAAGGATCAACAAAATATACAAATTTACCATTAGTTACCAGCAAAACTACACTGCTGACGTGATTGTCTTTTCATGTAATTAACAAAGATTTACTTATAACAACCACTACTCGTTGATATAGAGATCATGATGATTATTCATTGAAAGCTGATACTTTTGAGTATTGAGGTTCTGAGTTTACAACTGCTTAAATTGCATCAACAATTATTAAGTACATTTAAAAACTGAGCTTACTATAGGCCTCATACTAGCCATTGTAACCTTGAACATACAAAATTATTTAACACCTTAAATTTTAACTTAACATTACAAAGGGTTATTTTGATTTTCGCTTCTATTTCCTCAGTGTTAAAGAATACCTTTAAGCATGGTAAATAAGCAAGAAATAAATGCCTAGAATTCAGCTTCAGCCATTATCATTTATCATCCAACTTATTGCTGCAATGTCTTCTATAGCTCACATTCAGTTATTTTGTAATAGAAATAACAAGTATTCTAAAGTGCAAAAACACATTTCTTTCAACCTATAAAAATAAGCATAATTAGATAGTATAGATAAAGGAGACTAAAATATTGGCCTAAGGGTTAATTTTGCAATATAAATATTAAAACATTAAATCATCCTTTGACCAGGAGTCTTCAATATCTGAAGTTTCTGATCAGATTCATAAACAGAGTCAAAATCTTTATATATGTCTCAATACACTATAAAAATGTAAAATGACAGAGATTATTGTCCGTTAATTAAGGTCTCAATCAAACCTCCCGTCGTGACCAAGCAAGTAAGCTCAAATCTGAGACCGGCCCGTGTTCTTTTATTTATTAACTACTATTCTAGGTTCTTTACACCCATATGACAATTAGTCTCGTCATGGTAGCCAAAAATTACGCAACGAAAATCCAATGCTCCTAAAGGAAAGCGATTAACCTAATATAAATCCTTACTCACTTAAAGTACGTGGGTGCAGAAAAGTGTTGAGACATACACAATTTGCAAAGTGTCTTGGGTAGTTTGCAGGAGGCGGTACACATTTGCACAACTATCCATCAGTGGGTTTCTAACGGGATAGTGATTAAAAAAGAGGGTTTATCCAGGTCCCTAGTCATCCCCAATCAGTTTGGTGAATCGGTGGCTCAGTCAGTAGCGCCATGGACTTGGGCTTAAGGCAGCGATGTTGTGGGTTCGGATCCTGGTACCTCTTTTTATCAGTGGAGTTTTCCCCTGGTATTGTTCCGGCTTACCCCTTGCTTTGCGGGATACATTCTACGCACTGGCCTCTATGGCCCATGTAGACAGGCAAATGAAACGTTTACCTCTTTTAACCTCTTCCGCCAACCTCTTTTAATAAAGAAAAAAAATCCCTTTTAACAATATCCAGCATGATCTACATGCACAATTTACTTAACTTTGGTCACTGCCTCAAATGCGACTGAAGAACGACCGCAACCTGTGTACACTTTGCCAAACATCACCAGCATCATTGACATATTTACAACCTCCCTTGAACTATCTCCACCCCTTAAACACATTTACATCCAACCACATTACTTCATTGACGTCCATCACTGGCGAACGATTTCAATAGCAGTTGATGATTTAGATAACGGAAATGTATCACAATTCATACTAGGTGGGAATGTTGATTTTTCTTTATGCAGTTTTCAGTTTCCATGACAAGACTAATTTTTTCATAAAGGCAGAAAGCGGCTAGAATATTAGTGGATTAAGTAAAGAACACAGCATTAGTTTCAGATTTGAGCTAGTTCCTTTGGTCGCAACAGGAGTTTCGAAGACCTCAATTTCTGACAACCCTTTTCATGGTAGAGGGTTTGGAGTAGTAAATGGAAGTTAGATAACACTTACATATTAAACAATACACTTTAACACTATCAAAAATCCAACCTTTCTTAAAAAAAGCTTCAGCTTTAATTGTTTACCATATTTAATTCACTGAATGGTTTTTTCTATAGCCTTTCCAAGTCAACATGGTATTCATGGCTTTCTTCAATTCTACAGTACCAAGAGCTTGAGAATCCATTTCTGTGAGTAAAACTGAACAGCGGCGAACTAACGGCTAGGAGTGGTACATTCGTAATAAACACCTCGATACAACAGTCATGAACCGCTCCCAAGCTGATTTCACATCCGCCTCCCTGAAACAATCAGAGAAAAAATAACAAAAACTAAACTGAGGTATGTTTGTCTCTCATTCATAATAACTATGTAGGACTGTATGTTGGTGTAACGTGGGTTCACTAACACATATGACAACCTGGCTTGGGAATTAAACACAAAATACTCTTATAAAACAATTTCATTTTCACCCCCAAAACGTATAAAAAGAATCAAAAACCAAAAAATGAAGTAGCATAGACGAATAAAATATAGTTAAGTTAAAATAAAAACCACAATTTGGAAAATAAAAAAATTATTTAACTCCTAGGGGTCTGCTGTACAGAAAATTTAAGGTCGGTACGGTTCGGTACGGTACAATATTTTGTACCTCGGTTCTCGGTACAAAATCGGTACGGTACGCGGCTACCCGTATTTTTCCGGTTTTCTGCTCAGTACTGTATTTAAACCATTATTTTTAACTTTAATACATTGACATTACTATGAAAATGGATAGTATCCTACATTCATGGTTTTCTAACAACAATTACTGTACCACTTATTATTAAAACAAAACCTTTTACTACTACGAGGATTGTTTCAAGATAAATCACAGTTTAGATAAAGCCTTTACCTATTTTACTCTGAGATACTTTGAAAAGCCATGATAAAAGTGGTTTTAAAAATAGGATAAGGGTTTTTAGGAATAAACATGTTTGAAACATTTATTGACAAGATAATTTTACACACCTGGTCAATTATTTCCAACCAACACAATGTCTAGTTGTTTTTATAATTTTTTAAAACATATAAAAGCATTCAGTACGATGAGAGTGTAGTTGCCATCTGTTCACAGCAGACGACAATGAAAAAATGGAGGATATGATGAAGTAATGGCAAAGAGCATCTTTTTTTTATCAGCTTCAAAACTAGTTATAAGATGGATACAACTCTTGCAAAGTTTTTTTTCTGAAACTAAAATTTGGATTATCACAGAGTAAGATTATTGTCTTTTCATTTACAAAGTTAACATCCACAATATCAATCATTAGTTTATCCCAGGCTCAATCCAATTTTCTTAGTATATTTTAAAGCTCTTCCAAAGAATCAAAAGACCCAGGCCTAGACTTAATTATTTAGGAGGGCCTATATATAAATTGATTAGGTTACAATGAGGGTAGCAAAATCACTATCTTCTTCATAAAATTTAAATTGCATTAAGTACCTTCAACACAATAAAAAAAACAGGAAACTAAAACACATTTAAGCCTTAAACAGCCACATCTAACAATATAAGACAAGGTACAGAACATGCAATGACATAAATTGAGACCGAGTAGGCTTGAATAACGGAAAAAAAATTATGCAAACAACAACTATGCTTGTGGTTTCGTCAATAGAAAGATAAAATATCTATCACAAATATTTATTTTCGTGAATATTCAATTTGCCGCTGGCCATTGCCTACTGCCATAAAACTGTTTAAGGCTACATATTAAACTTGTAACTAATCTACAATCTTATTTTACAAGTTAAAATATTTGTGATAGATATTTTATCTTTCTATTGACGAAACCACAAGCATAGTTGTTGTTTGCATAATAGTAAACTGAAAGTAATTTATTATTATAATAGGATGTACCTAACTGAATTTGAACCGTGTAAAATGCTGTACCCACAGACCCCACACTATCAAACCACCCCAAAAGCCTCCTAGATAAACTACACTTGCCTTCTGTAGGTCAGCACAACAAGTTTTTGTTTCACAACAGTTCCAGCCTATTTGTTCGACATTGCTAAACACCTCCTCCTGTTATTACAATTGGGATCAACAAAGTTAGGTTGTCTTATTGTGTTATTTTTAGAAAACTTTAACATGTTACAAGTTTGAGGTTTAAACACACTAGTAAACAACAGTTTCACAATCAGTTGAATTTTACCTATTTAAAATTCAGGGGACAGTCAATCCATTATGATTCAAAGGTAGTTTGAAATATTGTGGGGGTTTAAGTCTATTGAAAAGTAATGCCATTTAAAATTTATACACTATGTATAGTGGGAGAGGGTAAAAAATGGCGGCAATAAGGTACTAGCAAAGGTTTATGTATATGCTAATCCTGTTATTGCTTGACGATGAGTGGTCATCACTGACTACCGCTCTGTTGTTTATATTCCGTTGTAACTAATCTACATAAAAATTTTTGTTTTTCAGAGATCGTGGTAGCCTAGGCAAAATTTTATGTGAGTTAACAATTTGTATAAAGCAAATTTAGTAGCAGGTTACTGACAAACAACTAAGCACAACTCGTTTATACTGTAACTCTTCTTCGTTTTCAAATTTTTTGTTTGCAAAGACATCTGTCTTCTCTTTGTTATTTAACAGGTATTTCACTTTCATTCAACAAATAATTTGTGTCTGAAGATGTGTTAGAAGCTGACAAAGTCTGAGAAAACCCATTCTGCAGTTTGTTTTACAAAACTCTTTGGGCTGATTTTGGATGAACACTTTACATGGAATCCTTAACGACGAGTATGCTGACAACGATGTAAAAAAATTACCTCACGAACTAATATTATTCATAGTTAAATCTATATTTTATCCTATTGGTAGTGAATTAATTAGTTTTCAGAATCGTTATGTCTATTTCAATCTGTACGTGATCAAAGACAATTAAGTTTTTTATTCAGATTCTGAATTATTTAATATAATAATACATGGTACTGTATAAATGTAAAATACAAACCTAAGAACATCCATTTCTAGGGCGCATTGTGAGTAGGCAGTGAGAAAATTGTGCAAGTCAGTCTGAGACCAAGACACTTGACGCCACGGTTCTAAACACCTCTCCACTAGCTCTATGAATAAACCCCTGCAAATCAAGAGCAGAGTGTACAAATGACAAATAACTTCTTTATCAGCATTGTACGTGTTATTAAATTTACGGGAAGTAAATAAAAGAAACGTCTTATAACACTTAAAACATATATTTACGCTTATACTGTTACTCACAAGACTACAAATATACAAAAAAGATGGTAAGTGGTGATCGATTTTGATTGGACACTCCAATTGTGAGTAACAGTATAAGCGTAAATATATGTTTTAAGTGTTATAGACGTTTCTTTTATTTACTTTCCGTAAATGACAAATGACAATTCTTTATTGCACATAACATCTGTTACAATTATTACAAACTGCTTTAATCTGCACCGAACAAAAAACATTGGATTTTAAGCAAGACTTATAATTACTAATGAGTTTCGACTCCTCAGGGACTGGTTCACAGTAAATGGTCTATCTATGAATGTGTCAAAAACACAACTAATTAACTTTTCAGTTTTTTTTTTTTTTTTTTTTTTTTTAAAAAAGAGGTTGGCGGCCTCTTTTAACCTTGAATTTGCCCGTCCACATAGACTAAGCGCCCGTGCGTGGATCGTTTACAGCAAAGCAAGGAGTGAGCCGGTACAGTACAAAGGTGAACTGTACTGATAAAATGTTATCGGCAGTGACCAGGATCCGAACCCACGACATCGCTGCCTTGGGCCCGAAGTCCGCGACGCTACCGACTGAGCCACCGACTCACTAAAGTTGCTAATGAGAATAGAGACATTGTTGTAAATTCAAACAAAAAATCAATATATTCTCAAAACTCAGTCAATTACCTGGGAATTGATATAGATTGGCAATTTAATTGGCAAACAAACCTTAAGAATCTATTAAAGAGACTCAGATCAGCTATACTTGTTCTTCGGGTAATTCGACATACTACAAATTTAGACACACAATTAGCAGTATACCACGCTTATTTTTCTTCCATTATGAATTACGGTTTAAGGTAAATAAATAAATAAGGTCTTTATTTTCAAGCGTTCATCAAAGTTTACAAACTCTGTTTTTCATGACAACTTTTGTCAAATTAAGTAAATAAAACAATACAATAATCTATTCATAAAATAAAAAATAAAAGTATCTATACAGTAATATTTAGGTAAACATTTCTTTTGTACATTTCTTAAACCTATTATAACTGTACTCTTTTAAGGTGGGTGGCAAAGCATTGTACTTTTTTGGGCCAAAGTAACTAAACCCCTTAATCCCCGTTTCCAGTTTTGTCTTTGGCAAGTGCAACAGGCTGTCCTGTCGAGTACTGTGCTCATTTATTTCATGCGTAAACACCAACTTTTTCCTAAGGTATTCAGGTTTTCCCTACTGAAGAACTTTGTGAACCAGATTAACAGTTTGTATGTCGGAGTACCCCATGATTGACAACACCTTGGCACTCAATCTGTACTCACTAGTGTGATCAAATTTTTTCAGATTGTAAACAAATCTAAGCACTCTGTTCTGCAGCCGGGTAAGGATCATCAAATGTTCCCGAGTAAGGCAACAGGCAAAAGCAGGAAGAGCATAGTATATGACAGGAAAAATGTTTGAACAGACAATTTCCAATTTAGAAAGTTCTGGAAAAAATTGAGCTTAGTCTGCAAAGAGTTTTCAAACGTATTGTTACTGTTTTACAGATAGCTTTGACATGGTGAGAAAAATCAAGTTGTGAATCGAGTGTGACACCGAGAATCTTAAGAATATTACTCGAAATCAGTGGTTTTCCATCAACAAAGATACACTGTTCAACACAACTATTCGCTGAGTGGGCACCAGAAGATGGCCTATCTACAAGCAAGACAGAACACTTACTGGAGCTCAATAGCAAACCATGGCCATCCGACCATCTATTTACACTCTCTAAATCATTGTTGATATAACGAATAGTCTTAGCTGTTTCTGAGGGCTTATAAGAAATTAGCAGTTGGGAATCATCGGCATAAGAGTGTAAAGAGCAGTGACTCAAGTTATCTTTCAAATCTGCAGTGTATATAAGGAATAGAATCGGCCCCAAGCAACTACCTTGAGGAACACCAACAACCTTGGAAGTGCTGACGAAAGCTGTCCATTAACCTTTGTACATTGAGTACGCCCGGTCAAGTACGATGAAAACCACCTCACTGAGATGTCGTTAAACTGATAAAACCTCAGCTTTGCAAGGAGCAACTCATTTACCGAATCAAACGCATGAGAGAAGCTATCACACTGTTCACGCCCCTATCTTTTGCAACGATCATTTCGTCAATAACATTGAGAAGAGCCGAACAAGTGCTAAACCCCTGCCTGAACCCTGACTGTGTTTCAGGAAGTAATCCTTCAGATTCTAAATGAAATACCAATTGCTCTGCCACAACCTTTTCCAGTATTTTGGACATAACAGGAAGGATTGAAATAGGTCGGAAGTCAGAAACCAAAGAAGGGTTTAGGGTTTTGGGGAGAGGAACTACCACGCTCTGCTTCCAACTAGAAGGAAAACTTCCAGTGCTCAGTGATACATTGATTAAATGAGTAATTGCTCCAATACAAAATGGGCTCAAACCTCTGATCATTTTTATTGATATTCCATCCACCCCAAATGCAGTACTTGTGATACTGTTCATCAAATCCTTTACCTTACTTTCTGAGACAGGAGAAAAATTAAATGGTGATTTTATCCCTGCACATTTATTGCTGCAAAAGAATCTCAGTGTTTACACGGTACAGTATGGGGTTCTTCTAGTCATGCCGAACAAATTTTTATCCTCCAAAAAAGAGAGTCTTAGCGAAAGTGTCTCGAATTACTCATAGTAGAGTTTTTCATTCAGTATAAAATTCTTACTTTGTATAGTTCTGTCTTTAAACTGGCTTTAATGGTTAAAACTGTTAAAAGTGATTTTGACACGTTCATGGAAGATCAACATGCGCATCCTCAGTTCCTCACAACACTAGATTTAAAAACAATATAAAACCAGTTCAACACAGACTTAAAGTATTCCATTTATCTCCTCAGTACATGGGCCAAAAAATATATAACAAATTACCTTCTTCAATAAGGGACACTGATTCATTCCCTAAATTCAAAAAGAAGTTAAAAAACTTCCTTTTGGAGAAGGCCTTCTTCTCATTTGAGGGATATATGGAATCTGTGTAGATGTTAAGGCTCAGCATATGAAATATATTTTAGTAATAATTTTAGTATAATAGAGACTATAAAATATTGTAACAATGACGAATCACCTGTCTGAATATGATGTTATGTGATTATTGGAAAATTAAAAAATAAAAAATAAAAATGTAATACACAGACAGGTACATTGTCAGGGTTTCTAATAAATAAGGAATTCTAAATAAATAAAAAAATTAAAAAAAAACTAAGAACAACTAAGAACAATTGTAAGAATGTATGTATGTTAAAAAAAAACTAAGGTAGGCATACCCCTACAAAAGCTACAGCATGGTGGAACTGTTTATGCTAGGAGAGGTAGATGAGAGAATGGGTGTCTCTTACCAGGAGTCGTTGAAAAATTCCTTAAGAGTGTAATATGGTTTTTCTACTAAAACTGTTTTGATTTTGTCTTTAAATTTTGCTAAGTTTAATTGCTTTAAGGGGTTTGGAATTTTATTGTAAATGTTTAACCACATATAGAGAGGACTTGATTTATATTTTTTTTTATTTGAGTGGGGTATTGAAAAATGTCTTGTCTTCGGGTATTATATGAGTGACTACTATGATAATTTTGAAAAATAGCATGATTTTTCAATCTACAAATCTAAAAATACTGTACAAATCATACAGTAGCTTTAAATGTTCCTAGTAACAATGACATGTTCCTAGTAAGTTAAGTTTATGACACAAGTTTAAGACTAATTACCTTAGTTCTCTTGAGCGGTGGAGATTGCACGCTAGGCCGATAAGAGCTCTGGAATATGACCGAAAGTTCAGCTCAAGTTCCTGATAGGATCGTTCCAGGAGTTGAGGTTTCAAGCGTATGCAAACTAAACTGAAAGGCAATACAATAATTTAACGGTAAAATTTTAAGAAATGTATTTGTTGAGGTAAAATAAATGGAATTATTTATCCAACCACAGTTGTTGGTATGACAACTAGTTTCGTTCCATAGAACTTCAACAGGTATGCAACCACACCAAATCAAATCAAATCACGTTTATTAGCACTTAAACGTACAGAGGTAATAGATAAATGCACAGGTGCTTCGTCATTCTTCTTATAGCCTAATATTATATAACTTCCCTCAATTCTATGTTCTGTATTGTAAACTGTAGGCCTACTGTAAACAAGACATCCCTATAAATAACAAGACATCACTCGCTAACAATATTACCGTACTCTTATTTATTTATTTATTTATTCCAACGGTTTCTCCATTAATACAATTTTGTCAAACTATGAACTATACATAAGTAGCAAATAATAAGTTAATATCAGTGGTTACAAAAATCGTGCAATAATAATAAATAAGGAAGCTGGCAATAAATACATGAGTGGGACCTAAAAACTACAATAAATAACAATAACAATAAGAAGACTATGCCTAGTAATAATGGTAATAAGTAACAAACAGTAATGACGGTGACTTTACAACAGGCAATAACAACAACGATTAAATAAGACCAACAAAATAGACTATGGCAACAAAGATAACAAATTATAAACTGTGAAAACAATAACAAGAGAAAGCAAAATATTCAGAAGTATTAACAAAAGTATAATTTGTGGGAGTGTGTGTGTGTGTGCATGCATGATATGGGAAGAACACTGTGTCAAACACCATACACCATGCTAAAAAGCACCAACTTTCATTTGTGGCCCTTTAAAGGCACCACCTAGATTGCACTGCACCTCGCTGAGGTAACACCAGCCTCAAAACAGAACTAAGGTGTGGCCCTTTAAAGGCACCACTTAAACAAGAACTACACATCACTTGTTCCCACAGGAAGGCAGGAAAATGCTTTTAAGTTGTTCTCTCTTGTAAATATCTTGAGGCGTCCCTCTTGAATGAAGAAGAAGAAAGCCCGAAGAAGTATACAACGTACTAGTGTTTTCGTTGTTTGTAAATGTGTGAAATATGACGACCTCCGCAAGAGGCAATCCTGGCCTTGTAATGCCGAAACTAGTTGCCAAGCAACCAACTAGTCCTGTCGGTGTTTACATATTGTCTCCCTGCTTATGGAAACAGCATCTCTGGAGTAGACATGACCCGAATGCAAAAACTGCAAAATTCAGCTATTCGCTTCATATTTTGCCTCAAAAAATTTGAACATATCTCTCCCTATAGAGCTGTAGCGGGGATGACAACAGTAGACACTGTTTGCAGGATCATGACGTGCTGCATGGTGCACAAGGCTCTTGTCTTACAGGAGCCATAGTACCTTCTTCAGAGGCTCTCTTCCCGGGAGGAGGTCTCTCAGCGCAGTACCCGCCATGGTGGTCTCCAGCTTCACTTTCCAAGAGTGAGGCTTGAGTTTGGGAGACGAAGCTTCTCGTACTTCGGTCCAAAACTGTACAACGATTTCCCCTCTGGCCTCAAAAAATATTCTTTATCATCATTTAGAGTTAAGATCAAAGAATTGTGCACTGATGGTTAATTATTGTTACTCATATTGTCTTGTTTCTGTTTTGTTATTGCTCTATTTATTTGTTGTTAGTTTTATATTGTTATTGACGAAAGTTGTTCTGAGAAGCAGTATTTGTACTGAGAAACGCTTGATAAATAAAGGCATTTTTATTTATTTATTTTATTTATTTACTGAACTAGTTTCAGTAATGAAACAAGAGTTTTCATTGGAGTCTAGAATCCCGCCGGTGGCATCGTAAAAGAACTCTAGTCGTGCAAGTAGTGTTTTCGTTGTTTGTAAATGTGTGAAATATGACGACCTCCGCAAGAGGCAATCCTGGCCTTGTAATGCCGAAACTAGTTGCCAAGCAACCAATCCGATTACCGATAATGGCGATAATACAGGTGTTCAAACCACTTATAGTAATCCAGTATTGCCAATAGAAATAATATTTCTAAATGACATTGTTTCAGTGTAGTTTCATCACAAGAAATATAATAAAACCTCAAGATCTATCTTCAATATAAAAAACAATGTATACTAACTGCTTGTGTTCCTTTTCTTTGTCCAGGAGAAGTCTCAATTCTCTAAGGTCTAAGAGGAATTCTCTATCAAGATCAGTGTCATCGTAGTCTTGACTGGACTCTGCATAGGTCCAGTGGGTCATGATTGCCGAAGCACAGTAGTAGAAGTCTGGGAATGTGAGGTACTGTAACTTGCGTTTGCTTGTCTCAAAACGCATGCACCCGATAAACACAACTGCTCCATAACGCCTAAAATGAATGAGTAAAAAGTTACATATAACACTAATCTGTTTGAAATATCTTACATGCTGTGCAGTTGTGAATACAGTCACTTACTGTTGTAGAGCTATCTTTCCAGCTGTTGGTCTATTTCGATCAAATTTATAGACCACTTGGCCGAGGATATTTTTTACTTTATTGAAGAGTAGTACAAGCGGTTAGGTTTTCAAGCACAGCGTAAAAGTTCTAACGACTGAGCAGAAAGTAAAAAATATCAAAACAAGTCAAGCTTTTAATCTCGCCTTAAACATTTTCATATTTTTTTTCCGATAAGGTAAGCATAAGGTTAAACCTATCCATTACAAAATAAATTCTTAAAAGCCATGGCCTAAAGCCATCTTTACTTTACCAAACGTCAAATCTAGGCTCATTTATTTTAAAGTATAAATCTCCCTCACATCAACATAAATACTAAGGCTAACTTATATGCTAGCTAGGCCTACTGCAAAAATAAAATATAGTAGTGAAAAGTAAACATACCTAGCAAGCTCATCAGGAAGAAGAAAATGTGTTTTAATATTGTTTACAACAGAACCTTGCATTTCTTCAACAGTCTTAAAAACACGTTTAACATTGTCAAACTGCCTCCTGTTAACATAAACACATTAAATGTTTTAATTTCTGGCCATAAAACTACCAAAATCACACTCCCAATAAGACAAAAAACAAGTTCTAATGATAATTTTTCACCCTTGATATTAACAACCTCTGTTGCTGCAAAACAGGTTTAAAGTTTACAATAAAGATATAAGTGTTGCAAAAAGGTTAGACTAAACCGAAAGTATGGTTAGTCTATTTGGAAAGACACTCAATTCAAAAGAAAATAGAAGTTAAAAGCAAAACTAAATTTTTAGTTTTCAATAATACTTCTAGAAACAAAATAAGATCCTTGATAACAATAGTGTGATAGGTTAAAGTACAGAAACTGAACTTGAGACAAGAGATTTAAGTCCCTTGTGACTGAGTCATGGGGTAAATGTTTACAAACATTGTTATCTTATTCTACTTCTAGATAATCAGTGCTTTCCTGGTTATAATCATAGATGATAAGATTTGTGTAAAACTTTGTTGCATTATTTGAATGAGCCTAATTGAACTGTTGTTAGATTAGTAATTAGTCACCTTATTTATTTTGCAACATATTGTGATTTAACATGGTAATATTTAGCAATAGCCCTGGCCTACCAAGCGCTGGGTGAGAGAGGAACATGCAAGGAAAAGCGGCTTTAGTAAAGAAAACATCATCTTTACATCAAATCCCCCAATGAAAAAATATTTTGGCCTAGATCTGTAAAGCTCTTAAAGGTGTTTACACAAAAGTTTACAACTAAATGTTGCTCTTAACTAATTTCATCAACTAGTGGAAGATCTTTTGTGGAAAACCAATAGTCGCTCCTATCTAATTTGGAGCAACTAGTGAAAAATTTGTTGCCACATAATTGGCGTGAAATAATCAGTAGTGTCAAGGATGTCGGATGAAGAAGACGCAATCCATGCCGTCGCTGCATGTGTCATAATAGCCAGCCACTATACAAGAAGTTAACAAAGATGTTGGGTGAGACACTCGTTGATGGTTAAGGATAGGTACAGTGGCAGTGACACGATAGCTGATCTCCGAGAAGATGATGTCAACCAGCTGAGGTGCAACGGGAGTGTAAAAAACATTCTGAGAATGACCAGAGTAGTGATTTTGAATATTTCATTCATGATCGGACATAAGGTCAAGAAACGTGACACAATTGATGTCAAAGGGCGCAAGCACGCTCGCCGTAGCCGTTCGTTCACCTTAACAGTGGGCTTTCAGCTTGGTAAAAATAACTAACCCCTCCTGGGAAAATGGCTCATTGCAAATGACTTTGTAGAGGCACAGAAAATCAAGGACTCTCTAAATCGGTGACCTCTTCCTCTCTCTCTAGTATTTCACTAAGTAAATATCATCATTAAGGCCAAGGAAGAACACCCCAGTAGGTGGGCTGGATTAATTTTATCAAGGGCTAGTAAGCTGACTCTTCACTTGCCATCCAAATGGGTTGCTTTGGACACCTTGAGGTAGGATGAAAGATGATGATAGGATAAGTCTTCAGCAGTGATAAAGGCCCCTAAAGTATCTGCAATGGGAGGGTTTGTATGAAGGAAGAATAGTGTAGCCAATCATCTACAGTTCTGCTGCAAGGACCTCAATGAGTTAAGAAGGACCCTTCTAGTTAAGCTTGAAAACTTGATGTATAAATAAGTAGCTAAATACTGAAAAAACTAAAGTTTATAAATGTAAGGATGTATATTACTTTGATTATTGATACAGATGAAATTTTTTATCAGAAATAGTGTTTGAATTTATAAAAAACCATGATCTTACGTCATTAGTTGATAAAGAAATAGGCACCACTTACCGACATGATTTTAACGAAACTCCAGTTTTTTCACTGACTTCATCTAAATCTTTCCTGTGTCTTGAAGTTAATTTTTTCCCAAGAAGTTCCCGTATGACAGAATTGTCAAATTCATAGTACCTAATGAACATAGTGCATATTAAGACAACCCAATGTTTATAATAGCCAGCACTACGCTTTATGTTATAAACGATAGGCCTACTGAAGGCAGTTTGGATGTGTTAGAAGATTATCATTTGACTTAGGACTAAAGCAATATCACCAGGAATCTAAAAAATATAGATTCAAACAGCTCATGATAGCTAGCTTATCTGTCACAATAAAAAACCAAAACTTTGAGTTTATTTATTTAAATGGCAATACTACATTACAGGCACAGAGCCCAATGCAGCATTAAAGTTTAAGTCCATTTTAGAAAGTCCATGCAGTCTTCTTGGTAGTTACACACAACACACAATTTACATAATATTAACTAAGACAAGATAACAACTTATAAATAATAACAAATAACATTTCATAAACAACAATAAATAGACATATTAAATAATAATGAGAACAAAAACCCTCAGAGAATGGTAAAAAAATATATATAGTATTTGTGCAGAAGCATAACCCGTTGGGACGTATGCCAAGTGCCAACACTAATTTTTTGTAAGCATTAATAAAGAAATAGGCCTATAATGCAAAATTGATATCAAGGATAAACCTTAACTTATAGATTTTTTTTTTTAAATCTCACTCTTAACTCTCATTTTATACTTCAGCCTAGGCTACCTTGAGGAGTTGATAAAAACTTTGAAAGTTTACAACATTTTTTTCCCAGCGTCAGTGCTGGCCTAATATTTTTTCTTAGTGTAACCAAAGATTGTTTTGGGCGCCACCTCCATCTTTATACAGTACTTATAAGATTACCGTTACCAGTACTATTTTACTGTGTCATGTGCCCAAAATATACAAAGCAAAGGGTAACACAAAAATTACATAAAGATTAACTACGGGATGTGTGTACCAATGTAGGTAAAGTAAATGTGATGTTATTGCCATGATGGAACGCAGAAATGCTGCTTGCCTGCTTGCTGATTTTGTAGACATTCTTTCTTCTAAGCAATAATTTTGACAAAGAAAATAGTCCTATTTTCCAATTGAATCTTTTCCTTTTATATTTGCCTCTTGAGATGGCTAGTTATGAATTGGTTATGAACTTTTTATGTAGACCATAATCTCATGGACTTCCTGCTTTGTGTATATAGGCCTACTTGTGGCAGTGTTCAAATACCCTACATCATAAATGTAAAAAAACAAAGGCAATTTTATTTGGTTGGAAAAATATTACGAAAAGGCAATACAAACTTTTCAATCAATAGTTGACGTGTTTGTGGTTCTATTTGGAAGGCAAGTTGTTCGGCAAGTTTTGGTGGGTTGTGTAGTAGCCTCTCCAACAAACTATATGTCCGATAATGGTCCAATACATCTGAGGCAATCAACTCTAAGGCAGTAACATTCTTCTCTTTCACATTCTGCTGGTGTAAGGCATGAACAGCTTCCGAAGCTAAAACAAGTTGTTAAATTAATATACCCCTGCCGCAGCAAATATGCAGATTAAGCAAATTTCCATTTGCCTGATTGGATTTTCACTAAAATACCTCCAAAAAAATGTTTTTTTTTATTCAATATTTAAATAACATTATAGTTTAACGAGTAGACCTACTATACATTTTTCAAATTCAATCAAAATATGTTTATATACAAGTAAACAATTAAATCTGTTAACTTATTCTTTATAAGATCTTTTTGGCCTTTGGGTACCTCAAACGAACAAGTAAATCGGTCCTGAGTCCAAGTCTTACAATGAGACCTACGGTAATTGCCTATTTCCAATAAAGGAAATAAAAAACCATTTCCAATAAAAAACATAGAGCTACACCTCGTTATATACGTTTTTCCATGAATGTTATTTCCACATGAAAAAACTCAATCTGCTCTAGCTTTCTCGGTGTAGGCCGTGTTAAAAAATAATTTGGCGTTAAACATTCTCATACAGACAGACAGGAACTATGATAAAACTGGCTTCGCTTTTTTCTTGGCTATGGAATGTAAAAATAACCAAAAAGTGCATAATTCTATGCAATATACAGACTAAAGTGTAATTTTATCCATCCATAGATAACACAGTACCAGGACAAAGAGTTAGCTACCGCAAATAGTAAATCAAACTGCTCCACTCCACAATGTCTCATTTCAGTTAATTTTACTTTTAGAATAAAAGTACCTCTGAATAGATATTTAAGGCATTATTTTATGCAAAGGAATATCTTTAAAGTTAATATCAAACAGAAAAGTTAGGCCAACTCCCATTGGCCTATGACTCATTAACTTATGGTTTCATTTTCACTCGAGGATTAGCCTAACTTACTTAATTACCTAAGTCTAATATTCTAGAGGTTTTAAAATTCCTAATTTTACCAACCTAATCCTTGGTCGTCTGTTGTTTCGACACTCAAGGGGTTGATGTCAAGCCTATGACGTGTTGTTGTTCCTAGGAGGTCGTCAAAAAGTCTTTAACTTAAAACATGTAGGCTACAGGTTGTTGTCTGTCATGGCTGGTAGTGTAAACACAGCTAACTGTCCTTCTTGTTCAAATGTTGTTTTAGACAATGATAATGGAATTTATTGTGAGTTTTTCTGCCAAAAGTGGTTTCACTCTGCTTGTGTAGATGTAAGTGATGAAGAATATATGTATATGTAGTCTCTTGGAAATAAGTCTAAATGGGCCTGTAGTGATTGTGAGGTTAGGTTTAACAAGTTAAATAAAAGCCTTGCTTCAGATGAATTATTTGACATTCATTCAACAGTTCTTAAGTTAATTACTACTATTAATGGTGTTGTTTCTGAAAATAAAGCAATAAATGACAAACTGGACATAGTTCTGAGGTCGCAAAGTAAGGTTAGAAGTGAGACTGCCAAACCCAAATCTCAAATCAGTAAAGTAGACCTGTTATTACCCTCCCATTCTTCTGCAACATATATATCCAGGTCTCTGACAAAATCTCCTGTGGATGAGACTGTTCCCGAGATAGGCCTACAACGTAAGTCGTATTCACAAGCTTTGCTGTCTAAGTCGGATGAAGCTCTCGAAACAGTAAATGACGAGGGCAACTCAAAGTCGCAGGCCTTCAAAAGCCAATCAGAAAAATAAGCAACCAATCATTGGAAGCAAAGTTGTCAACGAATCCAAAATTGCTTTGAAGGTTAGGGCTGTGGAACAAAAAGTAAAGAAGAATTGGCTTTTTATTTCAAGGTTATCTAGTGAGGTTACAACTGATGAAGTTGTAGCCTACCTAAACGATAGTGGCATTAATGTTGAGTGTGTTAAACTTAAAACTAAGCATCATTCCTATAGCTCTTTCAAACTTGGTGTGACTCCTTCAGAGTTTCCCAAACTGCTTGACTCAAATTTCTGGCCTGTCGGCACTTTAGTTAAGGAGTTCATGTTTAAACCACGACTCGACAACAGTTTTGTTCCTTCCCGTGTTTTTTTAGGGAAAATGAACTAACTAAAGAGACTGTGTTATCATCCTCTAGAAAACTTTAAAATTTTTGCACTGTAAATATTCAAAGCCTAAGAAGTAAAATAGCCTTACTTGAGAACTTGTGTGATGAGAACGGTATTGATGTGCTCTGCATTCAGGAACATTGGATGGTTCATGAGGAAATAGGTCTCTATAATACTATTTCCAATCTAAACCTGGTAGCCTACTTCTGTCGCTCCAGTCCCTAGGGTGGTGTAGCTCTATATGTTAACAATGAACTCAACTGTAAACCTCTTGATCTGGGAAATTCTCTGTAGAAATGCATGGGGAATTTGCTGGTGTGGTGATTAATGAACTCTCAACTGTTGTAGTTACCATGTATAGATCACCAAGTGGCAATGGGGTCACTTTTTTTAACTTATTAGAACTGTCTCGAATATCTTCTGACATTAGGTCTATTTGTGATTATCGGGCAAAGACCATAACGTAAACTTGTTAAGGCATTCAAGCGAGGTCACCGATTTTTAAAATTTACTTCGTAGTTATAATCTCTACTGTACCATAATTGAACCTACAAGAGAGAAAGCTTCGTTGGACACATTTATCTCCAAATTTTGATCGCTGGAACTACAAAGCAGCTGTCAGCCGGGAACAGATTGCAGATCACCAGCACGTCTTCCTTTCCATTGAAACTGAATCCAGTGGTACTATTGCTGAAAACAGACTACTAGACACCAATTCTAGCCCTGAGGTTAGTTTTAGAGTATTCAACCCCTTTAATGTCCAGTATTTCAATGATATGGTATCAACGCATATTGACTTATGGTGCGAGACTTTGCCCAACCTTACTGCTAATGAGGCCTTTCATTGTTTATCTGACAACATAAAACATGCCTTTGACTTGTGCATTCCTCTTAAGAGGAAAACTTCTCAAGCAGGTGTTGTAAATAGCAATAGAAAAACACACTCCTCTGACTGGTTTGGTCCTGAACTATCTAGGTTAAGGAATTTGGTTATATTTGTAAGTGATCTGTCAAAGAACAACCCTACTCTAATTCCTTATTTAAAGAATTTAAGAACAAATTACAAAACAAAAGTAAAAGAGGATAAGCAGGCTTCAGTGGCTGCTTCCATCTCCAATGCAGCAAATCCTTGTAAAGCAGCTTGGGATTTTATTAAAGCCACTAAATCAAAGCCCACTGTTAGTGGCAAAACCTTTGCCCAAGCTGAAGAATTTAATCAATATTTTGTAAATTCTTTAGAGGAACTCATAGGGGGTTGTAGCACATCCCTAACGCCAAGTACTAGTATTGATAATGTAGAAAATAGTCTTAAATCAGTCCCAATTGTACCTTTTAACTTTTCTTGGAGGCCTGTTACGCCAACTGCTATCATTAACATTGTGCATAGCTTCAAACTGTCAAAGAGTAAAGATTATTTTGACATGATGATTGAACTACTTAAGGGTATAATTCATGTAATTGCTTCTCCCATGGCTACCATCATAAACACCTGTTTGTATGAGGGGGTATTTCCTGACGCCTTGAACATCTCCAGAGTTGTACCAGTTTTTAAAAAGGGATCTCATGATAACTTGTCTAGTTATAGGCCTATAGCTATAATTCCCATTCTGGCAAAGGTGTTTGAGGCTGTTGATTTAACAAGTAGTGTTTTTGTTTATAGCTCACAAACCGTAAACATTGTACGTTTTTGATGGGACGAAATGTGTATTAAATCATAGTTATTAATGTAAATGACTAAATTTATACATCGGATTTAAAATTTGTTAATGATAATTATTGAACTAGAGTGTTCACGGAAGTGTCGCTAATCGGATTATAAAGGGTCGTGTGGGAGCAGCCGGTAATGACCCTCCCGGTCAGTTTGGGCTGCCTCAACTTAGGGTGGCGAGACGTATAGCGCTTGATTGCTTTTAAGCCAAACAAAACACTTCTGTCTTGAGTTGTGATCTCTCACGAGCTTTTGACTGTGTCTCTCACCAAATTCTTCTCATGAAACTTGAAAGATATGGCCTGCAGAGTGGTGCACTTGACGTACTTAGATCTTACCTTAGCAATAGACAGCAGATAGTATGTTGGAATGGTAGAAATTCCACCCCTTTGGCAGTAAATCATGGTGTCCCTCAGGGCTCCATATTAGGCCCTTTCTTGTTTTTGGTGGCCATTAATGATCTCTACTATGAAGTGTCAGGTAATGTTATTATTTATGCAGATGACACTACCTTGTTTGCCAAAGATCCTGACTTGAAGCTCTCAAAAACCAAAGTTGAGGGTTTTCTTTCTACTGCTACTGCCTGGTTCAATGTTAACAAATTGATCCTCAATGAATCCAAGACTCATGCAATCACCTTTAGCTTGGGAAAGTCTGCTGAGTGCACTGACCATGTAAAGCTGCTGGGCTTTACTCTGGACCCTCACCTTGACTGGGGAGATCATATTGAGTCGCTGTGCTGTAGGCATAACAGGGTTATATTTTTATTGAGAAGACCGAGTTTTTACCTGCCAAAAGATGTCATTCGTGTTGCTTACTTTGCTTTTTTCACTCTATTATTGTCTACGGAACAAGACTCTGGGGTCACTCGCCTCAAGTCAACAAAATTCTGGTTCCACAAAAGAAAGCGATGAGGGTGCTTAGTGGAGCCCAGGATCTCCCACACTCCAAACCACTGTTTCTCCAAAACAAAGTCATGACTGTATATAGGCCTAATGTGTATATTTTTCAATGTCTCCTAGAAATTAAGTCCAATGAAATATACCTACCTAGAAATCAGCATGTACATAGCCATAACACTAGAAATAGGTTTGATATTTTCACTGTAAGGCACAGACTGAGTAAATCAATTAGCTTAATTGTTTTCCTGTTACAGGTTGCAAGTATTTTAATTATCTGCCTCTTGAAGTGAGGCGTTTGCCTTTACTAAAATTTAAAGCCTTTCTAAGTAATTGGCTCTTAGAAACACCTTTATTTGACTCTAGTGAGTTCCTTAAGACAGAGGTCCACCTGTAATTAGGTAATGCTGGTGTGTGCTTTTATTACTGCTTTTGGATTTTTTTTTTCTCCAAATGTGCATGGTTTTAATCTGATTTATTTAACTTTTTATTTTGTCTGCTATTTGACTTAAACTAAGCATGGTTTGATTCTATTGTTAACCAATCTCTGATGATGGTTTTATTTTTATTTTATTGAATTATGTAGGGTATTGACATAGCCTATTATGTAATGTTTAATGGCCAAATAAACAATTTGAATTTTAATTTACATGAGACAAAACAAACATTTTTACGAAGAATTAACACTGTATGGCCATACAACTAATGATGGTGTATAGCCCTGAACAGGTATGGCAGGTTATGTATGTTGTATGTTTAGCCTACAGGTTCAGGGTGTAAGTCTAAACTAGGGTACAGTTTCTTAACTGGGTTATGCCATAGACTAACCAACACAAGTAGACTTCTCATCCCATTGTAAATTTTGAAGCACGTTTTTCGTGTCTAGTTCATGTACGTGACACTTGGACGCTAGTGTCGACGAAACTTTGTTTCTATTATTTTAGGGTTAATTTCTTGATTTGTGCTTTACTGTTTGGTTATATAACTAGGGGACAAGTTATTGTTTATGATTAGACCGTATTATTTGGTTAAACGAGGTTTTAAATGGCTGTAATAACGGGAAACAAATTGTAAACAAAACACGACCTCTACAGAAAACCGTACAGAACTAACAATAAAATTGTCTTCAGCTGTTCCATAAGGATGAGAAATCTACTAAGGGAGTATGTTTTATCTATGGTTATGCTAATATCGATTGAAACTATCGATTCAAATTGCTCAGCAAGTTTGGTTGGTTAGGTTAGGTTAAGATAGTTTAATTTTATAATAGATATATTTAAAAATCTTGATTATTAATCAATATTTTCAATTCGATAGTTTCAATGGATATTAGCATAGCCCAGTTAAGAAACAGTAGGTACCCCTAAACTACACCGGTAGCTATCCAGACGACCAAGGATTACGTTGGCAAATGAAAGGTATTTAACCTCTAGAATATCGGCTAGTAATTAACTTAATTGTTAAGTATTCCAGAAGGCAAAATCTAACTTAGGCCTAAATGATAATAAAGTCCATTCCACTTTAATTTCCAACTTACATAAGAGATTTTTAGCATAGGCCTAAGCCTATTTTCCAAACAGACAAGGCAAATAAGGTATAAATAGGGATGGTATGGATCACAAAAGGTTATGTAGGCTCTTAAAAATACAAATAAGGGGATGATCTAATAAAAACCTTGGCTGATTGGAGCTGAGCAATGGTAATTATTAATTTCAATTTACTTACATGAACAACCATCGACCCACAGTTGATATACTTCAGGATCAACAAGGGTGTAGTTGCTGATGAAAACATCAACTTCAGCAAACATTGGAACTGTTAAAGAGGTAATTTATTCACTGTTTAGGTTATTTGACGAAAAATTAATCCCTCTGTAATATAGTTAACTATGATGAAGGTTTTTTGAAGTCCGTTCGAATGGTTTTGTGTCCTTCAAACTAAGTAAGTAAAGATAAACAAAGATGCCAAAGTCTTCCATACCATTGCAGTTTCATAAATCAGCAATTCAGCACTTACTTGGGAAGAAGACTATTTATTTGAGGTTATCTATCGAAATATCGAAATCAAAGATAAAAAGTGATTGATGCTGGTGCTGATAGTGGTGCTGATGCAAGACGACGTTATCTTCGAACTCTTTTCCATCGAGTATGAGAGAATGTTAAAATTTTAAAATAAATTCTACCCTGTTAAGCTGTAATATTGCTTATTCTTGAATATGAAATCAATAATATTCAATATATGTATGTAATATGCTCAGTATTTAAACTGTTTAATAATAAATCCGTTTTCAACACTAATAGCCATTACAGGAAAAAAACAAACAAAAATACCCCCGCCGCAGCAAACCTGCAGACTAAGCGAATTTCCATTTGCCTGATTGGATTTACACAAAAATGTCTCCTTAAAATATCACATTTATTCCCTATTTAAATCGAATCAGTTTAACACATACTTAGGTTTGCTGCAACAGAGAGGGTTAAACCATAGACTAAGCAACACAAGGGACCATGTTTTAGCAACCAAGGGAGTATGTTTTATCTATGGTTAAAGTGTTTTTTATGTAAAATGTTAATAGTTAGTAAGAAATAAAAACATTTTCCAAATTTGGGCAAAATATGTTAATAAATAAGCAAACTACAACAGTTTACTTATTCTCCATAAGAATAACATGGGAATTTTAAATTTACAATTTTTTTGAATTTTCTCCGTAACCATTAGGCGCATTATAACGCTTCAATATACTAAATTATTTTATTTTTTTAAGCTCTACAAAATAGTTTGGAAAGAAATTGCAAAAATTTAAGTTTTTTGGGTCAAAAATGGGAAAAACCCATTTTTACCCCATAAAAGCCCCCATAAACCCCCGTTCCCATGGTCCGATCATGCTGGTTTGCGAACTCGTTCGAATAAACGTAGGTTTACACGTTTGTACCAAATTTGATCAAAATCGGATCATTATTGCTCGAGTTATTGCGCTAACGGACATATATATATATATATATTTATATATTTATATATGTATTTGAACGGATGCTATTTTTGGCCTCTAGGGACCTCAAAACGAAAAAAAAATCTGTCGCGGGTCGCACGATTTTTATTTCAGCTGCAGTTTTTTAATACGGACAAAATGAGAGTTTAAAAATTATAAATTAAAAAAAATTATTGTAGGCCTAAAACTAAAAAAAATATATAGTTAATTTTTTAATTAAACTGTCATAACCTAACCTAACTAACCAAACTTGCTGATAATGACAAAATTGAATGAAGGTTTACTAATAGAAAAAATAATTCTGTTCATAAAATAAAACTATAAATGCCTCAATTAAATTTTATATTTTTTAATTATAAAATTAAACTGTGATAACCTAACCAAACTTGCTGATAATGAAAAATTTGAATGAAGGTTTACTAATCGAAAAAAGTTTTGTTTATAAAATAAAACTATAAATAGCTCAAATTCAATTTTATAAGGTTTTAATTATAAAATTTAACTGTTATAACCTAACAAAACTAACCAAACTTGCTGATAATGCAAAAATCTTAGACAAAAAGTTTGTGCCCCCGATGGGTTTTGAACCTGGTACCATAAATTTCGAAGCCCGGCATGCTATCCACTACACCACCGTGGCCGATGGCTTCATTCCGTTTCATTGCGCTAATGGTGTTCCCTCAGCCAATAGAATGCTCTCATTTTATTCTTATTAAAATAACTGCAGCTGAAATAAAAATTGTGCTCCCGGCACCAGGTCTTACCATGAGTACTACGGTAATAGCTTATTCCCTATATGGGAAATTCGCTAAAACAGTATGAGTATATAAATATAAAATGTAAAGTGTAGTATAGAGCATACAATCGCAATACATCTGGCAATGTTAGTCAAAGACGAATATTACAAGTATGAATTATCACCTATACAATATATGTCATAATATATAGATAGTGACTTTAAAATTTTATCATATATCAAACACATGATTTCTAGGTTGGTACAGATGCTAAGCTGTCGAACTGACTGGTCTGCCTGCTGCCTCTCACTGGCCACTCAGCACTCACTCACCCAATCCCACCCCACCCGACGACAGTCGACACTTGACAGACAATCGACATCATCATCATCATTCTCGCTGGCTTGCTATGTTTTCATGATGAGTGGGTCAATGTGTAAGTTGTTGGTTTAGATATGTTTCTTCCGTTTCAAGTCGATAAAGTTTCAATCGTTGGTAATTTCAAGATTAAGAGTCTTTAAACGTATACATTTATAATATTGTTGCCTTATTATGTCAGGTCAACATTTTATCTCAAGGAACAATTTTTATAGACAGGATTTACTGACTCAGGTATCATCTACTTGTTAGAAATCGTAAATTTTCATGGACGTTGGAAAGAATAGGCCCAGCAGGGCCAGATCTCGTCTTTATTCATTATCTGTAAGGTCAGGGCTAACTCTAACTATGGAAGAAAGTAAGTGGAACAAATCAGTGGATGAAACTGGTCAGAGAAGATACTCTGACTCAGAGGAGACCCCAAACAAACCTGTGAAGCCTACAGGTAAAGCAGGTATGTCACCATTACATTTTTACTAGGCTATTTTATACTAAGTTCTAATTGTCAATAATAATAGGAAACCTTACTCTAAGATCCATCACTTTTAGCTCACTAGTTGAATTCACCTTATTCATTGAGCCCCAAAGGTAGGATACGTAAGCCATCAATAGAGACATAGACCCTAATCAACCTTTTTTTACAATTAGATATTCATCACCTTACGGTAACTTATAATATCGTACGTAACCCAACTAATGCCATAACGTATTTGTAAACAACTTCAACGTTTTAGACCAGTACCCGCAATTCCCTGTAACAATAATTGACTATTATTGATGGAGCGGGAGCGCGTCAAGGTACTACCGCAACAAGGAACCACCCTGAAAACCCGCCACCAAAAAGAAGTACCTAGCCTAGATGAGGTGGATGTTTCTCGGTGACAACTACTTGGTTTACGTGGTGGTTCATGGATGGGGTGGTATCTAGACAGAAGCGTGCACGATAATCCAACACCTTGGATAAATGTGTGGTAGCGGTTGTCGTGATGGCACATTGTCGCAGTGGTAGGCCTACCTTAGACGGGAGAGCATGCACAACAACTCACCATCGGGAATAAATTTGTGACAGCATTTTTTCGTTCGGCTCATTAACGGCGACCCCATGGCACAATAATCCAATGATAAAAGTAGTGTCCCGTTTTAGAATCAAAGGCGACGTCTATTAAATTTCGAGTTGCTGATAGAATTAGTGAATTTACGCAGATACAGTGCTTATTTCTTTTGAAAACACACTTCTTAATGATGTCAAATTGATAAGCCAAGTTATTGTAACCTATAGCATGTTTTATGGCACCAAAAGGAGACAGTAACAAATATCTAGGTTAAATAGGTACATGTAAATTTGCTTTATAATCATCAACATTCTGGGCAACTACTGGAGATATTTCTTAGACTACCTAATTCTAGGCTGTCTCGACAAGGAGGGACTAATCAACTTACTTTTTGTAAATTGGCATCTTAGCCAATTAGCCAATAGGAGTTAGCCAATTCCCAAAATTTCTTGTAGTTTACACTGTTGTATGTTATCTTTTTCTCCTTTATATGGAGGGAGTGGGGGTGATTTTCTTTTATCTATCAACACAATTCGGACTCCTGTCTCAGACCCACCTCAATAGCGACTCACGGGAGCATGACTTATGGCTATAATTTACATGTAATTGTTATGCACAAACTTGTACAGTTTGTGCTGTAATTTTTTTAGATAAATCTTAAATTTGCATTACAAATTTCTAAAAAACCCAACAACTACAAGATTATTTAGACATGAGAGAATATGGATCACAGACACCTTAAGTCAAATCGATATGTACTAAAGACAAGTTAAGTAAAGCCGCATGTCGAGAACCGTATGATGATAATCATATTATCAGAATTATAGACAAAACTTATAAGCATTCTATCATAAAGAGCTAAAAGTGACTTTCAGGCCATAGGGAAAGACTCAACCAGTACAATCCTAATGCTAAATTATTTTGGGAGTGATCAATGATATAGCTGGCAGGTCACGTAGCCTAATAAATATTTGTTTACAATTAATAAATTAATTCCTGATGCGCTTGATCATACACAAGCCATGATTACAAATGTCATCCTGGTTGGTATTAAATGAAATTTTAGCAATTTTGGTTTAATCTAATATAGGAGGCCTACAGTAAAGGGAAAATATCTTGAAAAGCTTTCTAAGCATCTTGCAGAATCTTTACCGGTTATGAAATGTAACTGATTTTTTGGGTCGCTGCAAATTTGAGGCTTTTGGAGTTCGCTAGGCCTACCTGTGTGTGTTTATTCTGAGGGGTCAAATTTCCTGAAATTTGTGTATTGATATTGTGAAACTCCCAGTTCATCAGTAGGGTTATCTTCTATTTTAAGAATCTTGGTTCTTTACAAATCAGGCCCTATTATTTCTAACAAATTTTCTGTCACAGTCGCAACTTGATTTTTTAGATTTTCCTTCTTAACTAGGCCTACAGTAAAAGCTGAGTCTGCCTCATAATAATTTTTGGCTATTTAATTCACAAGTACCCAATGCCGGGTCTGTCATAATCTCTATTTTTGTAAGAAATGGTACAGTATGGTGCAGGAAAAACGGGTTAAGCAGTTTGACTCGTGCAATACTCCGACTGTGGAGCTAGTAGGCAGACATGAATGATGAATCCTAATGAAACAGCTGATTCTGTAACAAAGCTACACAGATCATATCACACTATTCTACACTCACCCTTCACTCACATTTGGGTTAAAATACACACCTGGGCGTCCTCATCTTAATTGATTTTGGTAATAAAAAAATAATAGTGACACTTGGCCTTGTTGCCATCGGCCACTCATACCATTTCAGTAGACTTAGTGGTTTAGGCATAACGACATCAAGGTTAGGCATTGTGTGCGCATATATTTCCAAAACAACAAGTAGGCCTAGTAATAGCGATGCTAGGAGATTTTTGCCAGCGTCTTTTTATTCCCTGCAACAACTCTGTTCCTAGTGCGAACACAGTTGTTGTACGGAATAGAACGCCACAGTCAAAAATCTTCTTGCTTAAGGCCCATTTTGCTTGGAGCAACTGTAGTTAGCTGAGTACTAGCGCTCACAATATAGTGAATTGAGTGCGGGATGCAACCTTGTAAAGTATCTCCTCAGTGAGGAGTTAGAAGACGAGGCTCTACTTGCCCCTAGTGGAAGTATTAATAGACGATCGATAAAAAAATATAGGTAGTGATAAGTGGTGCGATTTGGGGCGGACACATATCACTAGTTAGGAGATAAACAGAAAGCTGTAGTGATATCGATGAAATAAAAAAAAAACAAATTATTTATATCAATAAAAAAATATAGTGATATCAATAAGAGTACATGAATGTCGGAAAATTAAACCTGGAGTCTAAAAAAATATTTATTCATACAAAAAAACTGATACAGTAGGCCTATTAACTCTACACTACGTAAATAACATTTAGTCAACTTGGAACATTCAAGCATTTATATATAAATTTGAATGGACGAGGGTTACCTAAAAAAATGAATACACAACCATTTGCGCAATGACAATGCAAAGTTTGCTGGAAAGAGTCGTCTGTTTCTCCTACAATTCAATGTAAAAAATGAAATGAATGTGTAAGGAAATATAACCAAAACAGTAGGCCTACAATCGTAACAGCACATGAATAGAAAAATTAATGTGAACAAAAAAAAAATTATGGTTATTTTAACTCCTATTATAATTGTGCCTACTGAGTGAACTGAACTGTTTTGAGGTTCTGCGCATGTGTCGGTGCGCATCAGTCACGGCGCGATTATCGCAAGACTGGTACCCAGGGCAGTGGTCCGCGACTGTAGCTAGCGACACTTGCGACAGTCGCTCTAAGCAAAACATGACAACGCAAACTCCGTCAGAACAGTGCCCGGCTACTATCGCGGGGTGATTATCGCTACGCGACTATTGCTGCAAAGTAGGCCTTTATCAATCACTAACTTGTTGTTTTGGAAATATGTACACACTGCACAACCTTAATGTTGTCCAGTTTTGATCATGAAGTCTACTAAAATGGTATGAGTGACCGATGACAACAAGTCCAAAAGTGTCTGTCCACCACCTCCACAGCTGGTGTACTACACAAGTCAGACTGCTTTGAATCCCCCTGCTGCACCCTGTATTATTTGGTAATTTTTATGTACTTTCATATGTAGATTTCCTGGTATATAGGCCTAAACTGGGGTAGATGTTTTAACTTATAGATAAATCTACTGATCTCTTTTCCAGATGTTTCTAATTTGATTTTGATGAGAAATTCTACCTTGGGCCAGTCTGCACCCTCTCTCTCAAACTGCATGGTAAGTAAGATGTTGGTTTGTGCACTTCCTAACAACAACTGTTATCGTCCTCCCTGTTTATTTAACTTTTTATTAGAAATTGACTCCATAAACACACTCCAATCATTGAGTAGTCTGTGAGTAAGCCCTTAGCCTATTTAGTTGGTTTATTTTTATATTTTTGAAATCTTGGGTGATTGTGTGTGCTTGGAAGTAGGCTCCTAAATGATTTGGTTTTAACCTGTACAAATTGTTCATAAAGAAATTGCAAAGTTTTTTGTCTTGAAGTCCCTAGAGCCAAAAACACCATCCGTTCAAATTAATTTATATTGATGTGTATGTGAGCTCGATAACTTGAGTAAAAATCATCTGACATTGATCGGGCATAAATTTGGTTCAAATGTGTAAACCTATGTTTATTTGAACGACTTCACAAGCCCAGATGATGGGGCTATGAGAACAGTGTTTTGTAGGGGTTGAAATAGGGGGTTTCCCATTATGACCTTCAAAACAAAAAACTTTGCAATTTCTTTATGAACTATTTTGTAGAGGTTAAAAACAAATCATTTAGTATATATATTAAGGTGTTGTTGTATGCTAAATGGTTAAGGAGAAAAGTTCAAACAACTTTACATTAAAAATTCTCATGTTATTCTAATGGAGAAGAAGTAAACTAGTTTTCCTGTTTAGAGATATACAGTAGTTTGAACAAATTTGGAAAACTTCTTTTCATTCATGAGCTATCAACATTTCACTAAAAAAAAACTTTATTACCTTCCCTGTAGCAGTAAACCTAAGTACTCGTTGAACTTAATGTCATTTAAATACTGAATAGATATGGAAAACTTAAAAGGAAATATTTTAGAGAAAATCTAATCAGGCAAATGGAAATTCACTTAGTCTGCAGGTTTGCTGTGGCGGGGTATTTTAACAATATCCAGTGTACCTGTATGCTCCATAATAACCTTTCCCAAGTTGCGTGCAATTTAGAAAATGCATGTGGTACTTAAATGTACAAAACTTTAATGGGTTTGGACCGCTTTCCCTTAAAAGTGTTTGACTTCTTTACAAAAATGCCACTGGCGTAGATACGAAAAAATAAAAATAACTTCCTTAGTGAGGAACACTAAGAATTTGTTTAGATTTTAACAGTGGACCATTGATTAATAATTATTAATATTTTTTACCTCAAGTAAGTTTACATCTAAAAATCTAATCACTTTGATTTCTACAAATACTGTATTACCACGGTATACCATTATGAAATGAAACTAGATTACTCTAAACTCATCTTGATGGTAAATTTCTATATTTATTTGTGAAAATTCTGGAAAAAAACTAAAAGTACATAATATATAGTTACATACATAAGTATAGTTGAGAATTCATTCAGTTTTAGCACAACAAACAAATCATCCAATCAAATTCACTTACAATGGTCAGCTTTCTTGAGAACAGATGAACCTTCATACACTATCAGACTTTCCACATTTAACAATATGAGCACAGTTCAATATGTCCTTATATGAGTCAGCTTCGATCAATCGATATTGTTACAAGATTTCCTCATTCAATTTTGAATTCCACATTATTAAACATAAAATGTTCAGCAAAAAATGTACGTGTTCACAACTAAATTTAAATTATAATGTTTATAATGTCTAGCAAAGAGAAAGCTATACAAAAGTGTGAACAAATAACTAGTAAAAATTCATAGGGAAATTCAAATCATAGCATAGCTTTATTAAAAGGGTTAAATAGAAATTAAATTATCTTTCACTTTTTAAGTGACCTATTTTAAAATTTTATTTTGATTTAGTTACTTAATGTGATATATTTTTCATTTTTATTGATTTAGTTAAGTGAGCCCAAACAGATGTGCAGGATTTGAAAATTGTCGTTTATTTTCAACATAAATTCGTAAGTTAAAAATATTAATTTCATTAATTCATCCCTTGCTAAAATTGAGGTTTTTGCAGTTTTATAAATTATCTTTTCGTAAAATAAAATCAGCATTGTGCATAGACACGTTTTTGCAGCATAAAATCAATCTTAGTTTATTTTTTCTTTATTGACCGATTTGAAAATTTAGGTCAGTAAACGAGCCCAAAGAGAGGTGTACGTCTGAAAAATGCAGTTTATTTGCCAAGATAAGAGGTGGGGAAATGCACCAAGTTGATGTGATGCCAAGGTTCAGATTTGTTGGCCCGCTAAGGCAAACCTGTGTACTCTTTCACAAGTTACTAACATTTGTTCATTTTTGGATTTACAATTCACCCTGTTGGAATGTCTATAGTCGAGAAATTGTTTCTTTTACATTGAATATTCAAAAAATAAGCTATCGTGATGAAGTTTTTTTCCTATATTGCTATTGTTTAAAGACTCGAATGGTGATTGGTTAATGAGTGATAAAATACTCAATATGATTTACCTATATTTTATCAAGAGTTATCAAGAGTTTATCAAGAGTATTTCTACCTATTTTAATATAAATTAAGTTTGGTGTAAAACCTGCAGACTAGATAAATTCTAGTTAGGTCTATTTCGGGGGAAATTTTGTTCTTTAAATTCAATTTAATTTATTCATGCAAGCAAGAAATACTTGGACAGTGACTGAGGTTCAGAAATGAACACAATTAAAGTTAACGCAATAAAATTATTCTTCTACAGGGTAGACACATATAGGCCAACAATATAATTAATTACAACTAGCTATTACATTTAGGAGACTAAAAATAAATATATAATGAAGATAAATAAGAAAAATGCATGGTGAAAACAAAATGCACTGCCACTCAAACCTGCTGACTATCCGAATTTCAGGATGAATTATTACTGCAAAGCCCTGGTAATAGAGTACTGTACTGAGAATACCATATTATTTTAGTAGCGTCATCAGGACTGTTACAACAAAAAAATGAAATACAGTAGAGTCCCGCAAACTCGGCACTCGATAACCCGGCAGTCTGGAAAACTCGGCCATCACCTGGCTCAGAAAATTAGTCATTTTCTGAGTCCGAGTTAAACATGGACTCAAGCCAAATCATTTGCAGCTCGTACCAAGGATTTGTTGTACTATATTTGATGACTTAATACTAACTTGTAATATAAATATAAATAAAAGAGGCAGTTAATAAGCTTAAAAATTGTATTGTTATTATTTTTAACCCTAGTTCCCGATAACCCGGAATTTCACAAACTCGGCACCCTTCCAGTCCACATTACGCCGAGTTTGCGGGACTCTACTGTAACACCGACCTTGTCTTCCTATTAACAGTGACTGGCTGAACCGTACTGGACGAGGAAGTAACAATTGGAAAAATAATATAGTAGTATTATTTCACCAATTACTAATAAGTCAGGGAACTTTCATTGAACATGTTACAAGTTTGAATGAGGTTGAATTGAACAAGGTTGAATTGAACATGCAGATTAGTTCCTTATATAATGTATACTAGTAAAGTCGAATTTAATAGTAAAAGCAAGAGTAGATTTAAATTTATATTTTGAAAACTATGTTTTTGAAGGGTGCTGTGTTGAGATACCAATATTAAAAACAATTATTATCTCAATACACGATTACTAGAAAAAACCCGGTATGGATCATAAACATCAACAAATGACGTTTTTGGCCCGAAAATAAACATGATTTAACATTTTTTAAATGGAACTGCTAAAACATATGTTTAATGCTATTAGTATAGGATTCGGGCCAACAACGTCACTTTGTTTATGTTTATGATCCATACCGGGTTTTTTCTAGTAATCGTGATCTCAATATATCGAATGCCTGATGTAAACAATTTTAAGACATTTATAAAAAAGCTAGAATTATTATTGATTTTACTAAAAAAAGAAACAAAAACTAGCTATGTATATATAACTGGAGACTTCAACATAGATGTATTGGAAAACTGTAAAAACAACGCTGAAAAAGACTCTTTTGTAAATATTTTAATATCTTATGGTTATTGGTATTACTCTAAAGAGCCTACCCGGATAACACCAACTTCTCAAACTTGTATTGACAACATTGTTTGTAATAGGAGGAACAGTAGCTCTTAAGTTTTTATATTTAGAATTAGGACTGTCTGATCATAGAGCACTATTAACATTAAATGAATTCAGTTTAAATAGTAGAATTAAGAAATGTAGCAATATTTTAAGAAAAAGGGTATTTAATGAAAATAATACAAAAAAACTTTGTGGAAACACTTCAAGAATGCTCATGGAATGTATATAAAAGTAACAATGTTCAACAAAATTTTAACAATTTTTTAAGCAATTACATGTTAATTTTCCAACAGAGCTTTCCAGTAAAAAGTATTAAGCAAAATTCTAACAATAGTGTAAAAGCAAAAGGGTGGATCACTCAAGGAGACAAATATACATTAATTCTAGCTAATAAACTTAATACAGTCTGTTTCCAGATGTCTGTCCTGCAGCATGTTACTGACCTCAGAACAAGGATGATTGTTTATTATGCCTTGTTTGTGTCAAATATGTTGTATGGAATAGAGTTCTGGGGCAACTGCTCAAATGCCGTAACCATTTTTAAAATTCAAAAAAGAATCCTTAGAATTATGACGTTTTCAAAACCCAGACGATCCTGTAAATTATTATTCAGAGAGTTGAAAATATTAACGCTCCCCTCAATCTATATCCTGCAAACGTTAATCTTGATAAAAAAAACCCTTGAATCTTTTATGAATGAATGAAAACCATAGTCATAATTATTTAACAAGACACCGAAACGATTTACAACTGCCCATTCACAGACTTATCTCACTTGAAACCCTTCCACAATATCTAGGGAAAAAATTATATAATAAACTGCCTGAAAATATTAAATCACTAGAATCATTTGAAAAATACAAAAAAGAAGTTGCCAAATTGCTGCTTAACAGAGTGTATTATATAAAGTAAATGATTTTGTAAATGATGTATTTATTTGATTTTTTAGCATATTTTTTAGTTATTATAGTTTTATGTATTTTATGTATATGACCATTTCACCTGTTTCCCAGCTATGCTGGATCTGTGAACGTTTTGTGAAAATAAATGATTGACTTGACTTGACTTTCCTGATTTATATGGCAAAATAATAGTATTTCCCATCTCTAATTTTAACTAAAATATTTCCTTAAACATGTCAGATTTTGTTCTCCAAATGACCTCAGGTTTACAAGTACTGAGGTTTGCTGCTACAGAGAAGGCAATGAAGTGTTTTTGTGAAATGTTAATAGCTTAGTATAAAAAAATAAATTTACAAAATGTTATCCAAATATTTCTCTGTTCAAGAAAACTACAACTATTTTATCCTCCAAGGATACAAGGATAACACAGGGTATAATGTACTTTATGTATCACTTGAATATCTTAGTGAACTAATTAAAAAAAAAAAAATAGCTGGTATCTCGGTAACAATAATATACCAGTTCAAGTAGTCTAGCAAAACATACTTGAATTAAGTTACCCAACAGGGTTTTCTTTAACTAAGTAGCAAGTTTTATCTTCAAATCGGTGTCTTGAAGGTATGTAAAGTTTTAAATAATTCATTGTATGTATCAAGCAATAATGTGTTTATATTCCTTTGCAGAAGGAGTTAAATCTTAGCAGGCGCAGCAGCCGAGTAATGCAGAGGAAAAGCTTCATTTCCAACACTTCCCCGACTTTTCCAAGATGTCCGTCCCCCATGTCAAGTAAGTCAATCTGGCAGAGTAAAATTCAATCAACTGATTGTAAAGCCGTTGTTCAGTATTTAGTAGAATCTATTACGTTTAAATCACAGAAATAAATGTGTATAAAAGTATAACAAAGATTATTTAAATACCTTTTTTGTTCTCATTTTCTGTGTTACTAGAAGACTAGTTTTGGAACATGTGCCTTTGAAAATATTATTAGATTTGCAAATAGAGCAATAATGCTCTTAAAACTAGTAATCTAGCGATGGGTATTAGATTGCTTACAAAAAAGGTGTGTTTTTTCCTAGTGAAACAAGTGAACAAAGTGACTTGTGAAATGATCTGTCAAACCTAGTCTCAAAATTTCACCCATATTTTAATTAAAATTTCAAAACGTGAATTTGGTTTTAATTGGCTATAATACAACACTAACAAAATAAACCAACTGCTACAGAGCAAACTGTAATTTTTTTGCTAGTTTGTTTCCTAGCTACTGGTTTAACCCATTGGCGCCGACTTACGAGCGTTATTTGTTTGGCCGGGGTAGCGGATTTTTATCCCCCTGGAATTTTACCCCCTGGGCAAACGTGACGTCACAAACCAGGAGGTAAAATTCCGGCCGCGAACTTTTGAGTTTCGCGACATCAGCTCGATGGATTAAACGCGGAATTAAACATATAATTTCACGGTTGTGAATTAATCAGAACACATCAAATTATAAAAACCTAGAATGTACGGCCCGGAATTTTACCCCCAGAATTTTACCCCCGGAATTTTACCCCCCGGATTTTTACCCCCGGATTTTTACCCCCGGATTTTTACTCCCGGAATTTTACCCCCTGGCCAGATATATAAATTAGTGAGAATGATTACTTATCTTCATTCAGTTTTAATTTAATAGTAAACATTTTATTATTAAGTAGCCTATCTTAATTTATTTGTAACATAACTAATCGAACAGGTTTTTAATTTTAATTTTGAGATTTGTTTATCAGGATTCGATCTTTGAAGCCAACTGTTGTTAATATGATCAAAATAAAACAGCGAATTCGGTTTACTTAGTTGAGATTACAAAATAAATAAATAAAGATAGGCTACTAAATAATGAAATGTTTACAATTAATTAAAAACAGAAATAAGAAAATCAATTGTTCAATTTCTAAAATCGGCCAGGGGGTAAAATTCCGGGGGGCAAAATTCCGGGGGTAAAAATCCGGCCCGTACATCTTCAGTTGTCTAAACGCTAGTTATATGGATAGGGGGTAAAATTCCGGTTTTCATCGCTAATCTAATTAATCACGCTCTGACTATTTTCATTAGACTTCCAAATCCGCGGGGGTAAAATTCCGGCCGTGAACAAACTTTTGGCCACTCAGGTTACTACGTAACCTGCATATGCATAGTGACGTCAGCTTTGCCCAGGGGGTAAAATTCCAGGGGGATAAAATTCCGGCGACCCGTCTGGCCGATGCAGGCCTGAAATCCAACTTACGAGCCTAGCTAGTTTTTTTTGTTTTATTATTTTTTATTTTTTTACTTTCATGATGTTTAAAAATATATTTTGTATTTAATGATGTATTTAATCATTTAATTTTGGAATTAACAAAAGTTGTGTTGCCATGGAAACCAGATATCACCCAAAATGAGCTGTGGTAAGGTTTACCAAAAAATAATTGTTTGTTATAACAAACAATTATTTTTTCTGTTATTACTTATAAAAGTAAACAACTTGTGATTTTTCCATGTAGGGAATCAATTGAACTTTATGATAATTAATAGTATCATTTGTTGTCTGGATTAATCTTGCAATTTGTAAATCTAGTTTTTACTTTTGAAAAATTATATTTTAAATTTTAATTTTTTAATAATTTTTACAATTTTACATTTTGATTATCCAATTACAATTGGTAGACAATTTTATTGTGAACAAAATGGCAAAAGAATTGTTAATTTATTACGTAAGGCTTTCTTTCTATAACAATTAGAATAAAAGTGTACAAATTCGGTAATATGCATTGCTGACTGAGGGCACTGCAGGCAGCGCTTTAATTCCTTCCCCAATGGGTTAAATCTGATAGATTGATAGGTTCAATGATGCCTTCCTTCATGCAGTGAGGGGTCCTAACAGCAAACAATTGGGAAGCTTGCCATTAGTTAACACACACTGACACTCTATAAATGCTAAATCGGTGGAGTAGCTACCAGCTCTGCAGTTGGTTTCTCCTAAGTCCTGGATTATGATTTGTAGTTTGAGTGCAATTGGTTACATTGAATTTTAAAATAAGCCTGTTTGACAACGTCCTGACCAGGACCATAGCTTGGCTGGTCTGGTGACAAAATTTCATTACTTGCTGAATACACCACATAATAGTGGGAATGTAATGAATTAAGTGTAAGATACCATATTCTTAGTTATATTTAAACAATTGTTTGTATGCCCTAAAGGAAAGATGCTCAGTGTAAGGTACCAATACTATTTAAATGGGAAATTATCTTCTGTTCAGGAACACATACCAGTATCTAATGAAATACTAAACCAAGGACATTCAATAAAGGCCTAATATTTTGTCTAATTAATATGTTATACCTAACAAAACATTATCACAGCAAATAAAAAAATAAGAGTAGAACAAAATTGTTACTGATTTTATTTCTTAAATATACTTTTTTATTAAATGTTTATAAAGATGTAACCAAAATGAAATGACCAGGGTTTGAAGTGTTCCTTACAAAAAATGTCAATAAAATGCCACTGGAATAGATGTACACAAAAAAAAAATAAAATAAAAAATGCAAAACATGTATATAGTTGTCATACATTACCTCTAAAGGTTGTATTAGGCGATTTCAAACAGTTCTCCAGAAAATTTTATCTAATTTAAAAAAACCACTGGTTTTGGGATACCTAAAGAGAGGCTTTGCTATAAAACTGACTTGATTGTTGTTAATAGTTTTAAATCACCAATGTGGGTAGTCACTTTCATCAATCGATTTGGAACTTACCTAATGTGTCTATACATTTTTATTTGATTACGTCCATCAACTGTAACTGATGTTGCATTTTAAAAATTTGTCTTTCAGAAGATGTCAAAATATTGTTTGCTTTCAGCCGGCAGTCCTTTAGAAAGTCCAAGAATGTCACCGAGTCAACACTTCCCATTTGCACCAATTAAAAGGTAAGAAACCTTTAAGTACTGGTAAGCAATCTTTAGCTGTACAGTAAAACCCGCCACAGCAAACCTGCAGCCGAAGTAAATCACCTAAGCAAACCTAAGCTGTACCCGTGCTTCGCAACGAGAATATGACACAGAAGTGAATTTTTGGTTCATTAGATACATTTTATGAAATAGTTTCACAACCATCATTTATTTAAGAAACAAAACTTAATTCTATTAAATTATTTTTATGTTATTCAAGTTAGGGGGTCGAATTTCCTAGGCAACCTATATATGATGGAGCCATAGGACCTTAAACCATTGGCCAGTCCCCAATTAGACAGAGGGTCGGGAGCAGTGGTGGCTGGTACATAAGGACTCTGGGACGGAGTCCTCCCATTTTCAAGACAAAAGTAAAAAAAATAATAAAATACTTAAAAATAATTTGTAATCCTACATTCAATGTACATAAACGTCAGTAGGGTCAATGTTCTTAGGACGGGTAAGTAATGGACGCTAGATGTTTTTGCAACAGGTAGTACGCCGGGACTCAGTAGGTATAAGTCCAAACTCCCACATAAACTGCATGGAAATATTCGACCAATCATAGCGCTGCATCAGGCTCTAATGCAACAGATATAGGGTGTTTGGGACTCCGCCCAAACAGTAGTTTAAACTATTGCCACAACAAGCACTGGGTGCAGCGAGCGATCTGTCAACCCAATGATTTAGAGATATAGTAGACTCCCTCTAGTTCAGCTTCGGTTGAATCGGCTGCCGGATGGTCCGGTCCGGTCTCAGGGGGACAAGTCATATCGTCACGGGCGTATGACCTTCAACAGGATTCAACTTGAATGTTCAATTTCCGACCATAGAAGTAAACAAATCATGTCAGTTTAGTTGATGGGTGCTTCTATGGGTGAATTTTTGCATATAACCTATGTGAAAAACTATGTTACATAACCTCAAAAATACCAAGAACATTTTATAGTTTAATAGTTTTTCTTCAGTCTAATGTGTTGAAATGCAATGTATAATTAAATATTTCGGACAATTTGTTATGCGGTAGGTTCCCCCATTATTGTTTTTGAAACACCACGGTTTATTTGACAAAAATAAATTTGAAGCAAAACAAAGAAATAGCCGTCGTTAGCTTCAAGGTCAAGCTATCCGCTTGCACTGACAATCATCTGCTCTTTACACAACTGATGTCTGCTGTGCGCTTTATCTCACAACAGTTTGCGATTGGGTGATTTGATTAGTAACCATGGCAACTTGTTGAATGTGTGGATGAAGAGAAACCAAAGAAAGAAGAAGAAAGAATGAGCGGTGTTTTAGTCATCAATTGTTATCTTTATCCTATTTTACGACTGTCGTTATTATCTGTAAGACTTAGTACTATGATTTCATGCTGTTTTATGAGTTATCTAATGTTATTATAGACATTCTTATGTTCTGAAAAAAAAAACATGTAGTAGAAGCCTATGCTAACTATAGTAGCAGTAGCTTGCAGTACTAGACTTTCTATTGTTTTGTTCTTTACGTGATTTATTGCTGTACGTACAGTGTTGTGTAATTTTTGTTTTTCTTGAGTAAGCAGGCGTGATTTTAAACGTTACAGTTTTTATTACTGAACCAAGGTTAGTGACTTAACATATCATCATTGCGCAATACTATTATTTGTATTTTGATTATGTAAAATGCACTACATCCGGTTAGTCCGGCCGTTTTGTAGTCTGGCCAGTGGTCCGGTCCCGAGGTGGCCAAACTAGAGGGAGTCTACTGTAAGTCAAATAGTGAATACTGTAAAAAAACAACCTTGTTTTTATGTTTTTTGTTTGCTTATGAGGTTTTAGTATTTCGTGAGGTTATGTTTATCGTGCCGTGCCGCGCCGCCGGTATTTGAGTTGTTAATTAATTAATATAATGAACTATGAATTCGGTTAAAAACATTTCTACGAAGTATGCGAGTGGTGAGGTGGTAAGTTGCGAACAGAGAATTGAGTTAAAGCTGCTAGGCCTACCAAAACCCGATCTTTAGTTGTAGCACAATGTCAAAAATCATGTAAGAGTAGAGATGGATTTTCTAGAAATTTTAACAAATCTATGTACAACAATGCTGAGTGGTTGTGTGGCTGTAACGAAAAGAATGCTTTCTTCTGTTATTACAGTTTGTTTATGAATGCTAGTGACTGTTTGGACTGTTTCTGGTGTGACAAATTTAAAACACTTGGCAGAAAAAGTAAAAAAAACACAAAATTAGTGAGAAACACATAAATACTTGTTTATACATGCCAATTGATTTAACTCCCCACCATTGAATGCTTATACGGACAGTTATAAATTAAACATTTTGTATCCTAAAGTGTCCTAAACCAACGTTTAAATAACTCGTTTTTTAACTTCTAACCCAATAGTTTTGGGTGGTTACTCACCGGTATCAGTAACCACCCAAAAAAAATGTATGCACCCTCCCACTACTTTAACCCACCAGCCGCCACTGGTCAGGAGACAGGTTCCATCACACAGACTATAGTTTGGTAGATAAATTGCGCTGACACGTGTTAAACATTTTTCTAACTAGGCCTAGCCTATGTGATTTAATAAAAATAAAAATACCTACTCTTATTAGTAGTGTACTTACTTTTAAAATTATTCTTGCATTTTAAGTCAGTAGATCCAAAAGAATCGAACATCATAAGACAAACATGTTTAACCGTAATTCTTCCAACAATAGTTAAGCCTCTTTACCCGTAGCTCATTAAATAAATTTCACAGAAACTTTTACTTGATTGCAGAACATACAACCATCTCAACAGTGACTGCAGAGGGGACGGCAGGCGGTGGTCGGTAGCTTCTCTCCCCTCCTCTGGCTACGGCACTACTCCCGGCAGCTCCAACGTCTCTGTAAGTGTCACAAAACACACACAGCGTTTCCAGTTTAATTGGCTTGTAAAACTAAAATATCAACTTTTTATTTTGTTCAGCTTTAGTTTATATTCAAAATTTGTAAATGACTGGTAGTGAGTATTGATTGGAATAAAATCAAAGTGTTAGTCACAATTACCTCAAACTATACCCGATAATTAAGACTGTACGATTGTTGGATTAAAAGAATATTATAGTTTGTATTATAAGCTTTGTGTGATTGGGTTGTATGTTTGTGAGCATTCAGCATCAGCTTACTTTTTAAACACTCTGTTGTGGTCAGTATATTTTGTGTTTAGGATCAACGCGTGGTTTAAATGCCTTATTTATTAGGTTTGTAAGTAATAGTGAATCTATTTCTTTTTATCAAATAAAGAAATTAATTCAAACTTACCTTCTTAAGACGAGACATGTGTAATTATTTGGGATTCTTATTAAATGTTATTTTATTCATGTAATTCTTTAACGTGGCGACTTGGTTCCTACACATAAGCTTTGCTTTGCAGGGACTATATGTGATGGGGTATTATGACAACATGTTGGACAACAAACAATTACTGATTGATTTGTTGCAGTCACAATGTTCGAGTCAGGAGCGCTTACATCAGTTACCGTCAGTCCCCACCACAGACGAGCTGAAGTTGTTGACTCGTCACTTCTCGTCCAATGAGAGCAATCCTACCAGTGGAGGGGATTGTACAGGCAGTGATGAAGGTCGCAAGTCTCCCTTTAGTCGTCCTAGGTCTAGGAGCCTCAGGTACACTGTCTCTAACGCTGCAGATGTAAGACTTGTTAGACTAACCTTGAGTAATCAAACAAAAGTCTGAAAATCGAGAGCTGAGGCGAGCTTGTATTCTCGCAATACTCACCAAAAGCGCCTGCGATTATGATGTTTCATTAACCTGTAATCTCATCCTAATCTTATCCTTATCTAACCTTATCTTATGTTCATAGTTATAATAAATTTTAATATATAAAATGAATCAATGAATAAAAAAAAACTATTAAAATTGTTCTTCCTTTTGCCAATTTTACTATTTATAATCTTTTTTTTCTCATTCCACTAGTCATATATGTTATTACAGGTAATCAAATGTGATTATCAAAAATGAATGAAGCATTGATGCTCCAAAACTAGTTGACTGTAATTATAAATAGTTTTTAGACAAGGAAAAAGTTATGAAATTAATTTTACTGTAGTCATTAAATCTATTCTCAAGGAAAATATCTATAAAACTGTTGATGGCTAAAATCTTCACATTTGCTTTTGTTCTGTTTATAGCAGTCCTAGCAGATCCCCAATAATGGACAATGATATTGTTATGATGAACATGCTCTATAAGGAACGATTCCCGAAGGTAAGAAACTTTAGTGATTTTGATGTGTACTGGGACAATTAGTGGTTGCATGTTTTGCACAAACACATGTGACCCTGAGCATATTGGGTGTAGATCATCAGCTTTGGTCAATAAAATTATAAATGGTTAACATTATTTTCTTTGATTTTTTAATACTTTGATAGGGTACTTTACTTTGAAATGGCGACAATACGAAAATAGGTATTTTAAGCCAAGTATGAATTTAGATGAGTGTAGTATGAGTGGCACGATCTTGTAGTCTTGTTAGTGACTAAGGGTCGTCTTTAAATACTATGGAAAAACTAATAATTCTGTATGGTTCACACCAACTAGAATAGTAGTGAATAAAGTAAGGAGTACAACATTGGTCTCAGATTTGAAATAGTTTGCTTGGTTGTGATGAGACATTGAAGGACCTTCATCTAAGAAAACCCCTCTTACTTAATTCCGACACTGTAATTCTTTTAGAAAAATAATTTAAATTTAAAGCCTCTCACTTAAACCAATATACCTATTCTTTTAAATATTTTTCTCCAATTAAACATTTTAGAATCAATTTTTTGACTTGAACTGAAATTTATCTTCACTCTACTGTCTAAATATGTCCTACATAAGTGTTATGTTATGAACTCTCAATATTTTCAGGTAGTTAGTTGAACTCTTTATCTTTCACAAAAAATGTTTAGTATCTAAATAAATATTATTGGATACAATAAATTTAGTGTTCCACCTTCATATTGTTTTGCAATGTTCACAAATTCTAGATTTTACTTTAACTTGAGTAATATTGTGAGTAAAACTGAGTCTTATACACTAAAATTTATATCGAGGGTTCCAACAACAAATTATAGCAGTCTCATTAAAAAATCCAACAGTGATTCCAAAATATTTAAGTTGAAAACCATGAAAATTATCTCATTTTCTATGTTGAAAACTCAATTTTTATTTTTTTGACAGGCTACACATCAAATGGAGGAGCGTCTCAACACTTTCATAAAGGAGAACTCAGTTCTGGCAGATCAGGAGTCCAGCCCCATTGTGAGATTTGTGCTTCACCAAGTTGTTGAGATGGCGAGAGACTGTCTAAAAAAGTCTCAAGAAAAACTTATAACAAGGGGTTACTTCTACGAAATGTCAGAAAACCTTGAAAGATTACTCTTGGAGGTAATTTTCCTACTGATATGTATTTTTACATGTAAGTCCAGGAACAATTTTGCCCATCGTCGTTTTACTGCCCTTTTTGGGACCGCGTCTCGTTGTCCCGCCGTCTAGTTGTACCTACGTCTACTTGTACCTCGAGGCCTAGGGACAACTAGTCGTAGGTACAACTAGACGTAGGTACAAGTAGACGGTGGCACACCCGACTAGTTGTACCTGCAGATTTTCAGGAGGTACAACTAGACATAGGTACAAGTAGACGTAGGTACAACTAGACGTGTATCCCACCGACAAGTAGTATCACCTAGCTTGTACGGATGCGACCAGTTGTCCCTACGACTAGTGGTCCCTACGTCTAGTTGTACCTACGACTAGTTGTACCTACGCATATTTTGCGTCCTTATAGTCTAGTTGTATCTATCCTTCAATTCGTTACCCTGTTTAATTGATTACTGCACGAGTACTTTTTAATAATACCCTTAATTAAATCAAAAACTGCAGTGTTCCGAGTCAATTGAGTATGATTGGCAAATATTTTTCACCGCACTACGATGTTTTAATAGTTTTACATACGTAGAAGGTAATTAAGATGTGTTTTTGAGAAAAGCTAGTAGTTAAGTGTGAAATAAACTAATTTGTCGAAGTATATGCATCAACAACCAAACTACGCCAGTTTACGTAATATCCTTAAGAATAACATATACTTGAACTTGTAATATTCTCCGTGACTAATACCATACAAAAACACTTCATTATACTCAATTACTTGTTTTTGTAAACTCTGAATTTATTTATTTAAGATTATTGTTTTAAGTTGTTGTTAAAGCTAGTTAATGTTAGTTTTCTATAGAAAGGTAGAGTTTAAGTGGAAAAAACAATGATAGCAGATCTTGACAAGAAATAAGAAAAACCAAAGTGTAATATGGATAAAGACTGACCAAGGGACACAAGTAAATTATTATTAAGAGCAGGGGTTTCTCAATGAGCTGCAGACAAGCCAAATTTTCCTGGCTTTTGTAGCAAGTTGTTTATAAAAAATTGTTGTAAGATTGTATGATTTTTAAAGAAATAAAATAAATCCCTTAAACTGGTGACAAGTTGAAGGGGAGATACAACTAGCCGTAGGTACAACTAGACGTTGGTACAAGTAGGCGTAGGTACAACTAGTCGTAGGTACAAGTAATCGTAGGTACAAGTAGACGCAGACGTATGAGGTACAAGTAGACGGTGGTGTAACCAAATAGTTGTACCTGCAGATTTTTGAGAGGTACAACTAGACGTAGAGACAACTAGACGTAGGTACAACTAGACGTCCGCACCATCGTCAAGTTGTACCTACAGCTTTGGACGAGGTACAACTAGACGCCGGTACAAGTAGACATCGACCCCCCTTTTTGAGTCTCATCATTATTTTTAAGAACTGCATTTCAACCTTTTTTTTTAGGTTAAAGATTTTTTGAGTACCTTCTTTTTAAATGTTAGTAGTTCTTTCTCAGCACCTTTGTCAAAGGTTCATGTTTCGGATCCATACAAGAGAATGTCTACACTTTTTTAGGTTTTGTGTGGATACAAGCTTTGTTTGATACAAGTTTATTTGAGTCCAGCAGGCTAAGATGTTACTACTGTCTAAACTGACCCTGATTTGTATTTTGGACTGAAATCCTTTAAAACAATACAGGAACTGCCAGACCTAAGCTACTTTTCTCCTTGTCACGTTTTGAAAATATAATTTGATTACCAGAATAGTCAATGCTTAATTAAACTAAAACCTTTGTACATTGATATCAATCTTAAAACTTCGGATAATTAAATTAGGCAAAATGAATTGGAGCTTGAAAATATTGAACAATACTTAACAAACAACAATTTAACACTAAATACAAATAAGCAAATTTTGTGCTCTTTCATACAAATAAGATCAAACCCCTAAAATTACTCTAAATAATAACCCGATCAAGTGAATCCCAACCAAATTTTTAGGTTTGATAATTGATAAACATCTAAATTGGAATGAACACATGAATTATTATTTTTTTTAATTAATTCATGCTTGTTTGTTTTAAGATCAATGGCTTATCTCTGTGAAAAAACTGTGTTAAAAATGATATACCACTCGCTTATAGAATGTCATAATGGCTACGAATAGAAATTTATGGTGGGACAGCACAAACAAGTTTAAATAAGATTTTAAAACTACAAAAACAGTCCATTAGAGTTATTGAAAAATGTATAAGGATAAGAAAGTCGGTAAAACAATACTTAAAAGAAATGGAAATTTTTAGAGTGTATGGTTTGTATATTTTTAAAACTATTCAGCATGTTCATAAAAATAAAAACACTGAAGTATTCCATAAATACAATACAAGGTGGAAAAATCTTACTGTAAAGTGTCATCATCGGCTAGAACTTTCAAAAATGAAGTCTTCGTATATCGGTAAAAGAATATAAAAACAAAACAAATTTTTGCAGAAACTAAAATCATTCTCAATTAATCTGGCTCCCTATAGTATAGATGAGTTTCTAAATTGGGAGTGTTGCTGAAGGTCTAAATCTCTCAGTTTGTACTTGTTGCTGAGGGTCTAAACGGGCAGTATGTCGAAGGTCTAAATCTCGGAAGGTGTAAAAGTACAGTCAATGCAGAAAACTCACCCACTGATACTGTTTTAGACCTTGCGGGATTTAGACCTTGGGCACACAAATTATATTTTGTAGATAAATGTTCATAAAATGAAAGTTGCTCAAGGTCTAAGTCCCAGAAGGTCTAAAATGTGAGTCTCTGAAGGTCTAAAATGCGAGTCTCTGAAGGTCTAAAAATGTGGGAATTGCGTCGCCAGAGTTGAAGGCTACACATAGATATAAATACTTACTCTAAACAACAAAAAAAAACCACCTATTGGCACCTATAGATTAATATTTAATAAAAAAAATGAAACAAGAAGTGCTTTTATTAACAAGTTAAGTGTACAATTCCATTATCCTAGCACCACATACAACAATCATCACGGAGACCATCTGTTGCGGCTGGCGAACTTAGTTAGCACTTTGATAAAACCAAACAATTATTAATAATTAAATTAATTAAAATAAACTTAAACTGTAACAATGGGATGCTAACCTTGTCTGCGTTGAAATTTATTTCCCTGCCATGCTTGTTTTCCAGACAATCCCAATGATTACACTATAGTTCGGCCGCTTAGAAAGTGACCTCCTCCAGTATTGATTTAGCATTAGCGCGCAGGTCGTTTTCTAAGCGGCCGAACTATAGTAAATATTCTTGTTTATTATTAGTTTTCATAATTTAAATGGTAAACTACTTTCAGACATTGACAAAACAATTAATTTGCTCAGATGTAATTTGCTTGAATAAAGTATATTGTATTTGTTAAAGATTTGAGGTAAATTAAATATTTCGGTATGTTTCTTGGAAGTATAAATACAATACAATATTCTTTATTGTTCATTCGTTAAGAATTACAATAGTGTCAATACAATAGTGAATTGTACGTGTTAATTTCCATAATTTTCATAAAATTCCTTTATTGAGTAGAAGGGTCTTGCGATTAGCCACTTCTTCAACTCCTGGTGTAGCTTGTTGCCAGTCAGGTCTCTCAGGTAGTCAGGTAGATGGTTCCTCAGTTTGCAGCCGGTGTAGGAAGGTTTTTTCTCCCAAAGAGTTGTTCGGTGAACTGGTAGGGCAAATTTGGAGCCATGACGGGTGTTGTAGTGGTGCAGATCTTGGTTTCTCGGGGGGTTTATTTCATCCACATACTTAATAGTTTAAGTATGTAGAGAGGAAGTATGTACACCACTGTGAGGATTCCTAGGTTTGCGAATGCTAGTCTGCAAGTCTGTGGTGGGACAAGGTTGGCGAGGGCTCTTATGGCTTTCTTTTGAAGGACAAGAATTCGATTCATATTTTTTGTTGAAGTTCCTCCCCACACTGTCAAGCCATATCTAAGATGCGACTCTACCAGTGCGAAGTAAGCTGTTTTGGCCATGGAGAGTCCGCCTATGTAGTTTATTCTTCTGACGACATATATTCCAGTACTGATTGTTTTGCTTAAATGGTTGATGTGCTCTTTCCATGTTAGTTTGTTATCAAGGATAACACCGAGAAATTTTGTGTGGTTTTCTATTGTTATACATCCTCTAATTGAGGGACTATGTCTTTTTTCTTACTGAAATTCAGAGTTGTAGTTTTTTGGGGGTTTATTGCTAAGTCATTGTTCTTTGAGTAGAGGATAGCTTTATTTAAGATTGATTTTGAGTTAAGGTAAAGGCTTTGGGCTGTGTTGTCCTTGATAAAAATGGTTGTGTCATCTGCATACATGATTGCAACAGCATTTTCACTCTCAATTTGTTTGGGGAAGTCATTAGTCAATAAGATGAATAGAATCGGGCCTAATACAGAGCCTTGTGGAACTCCTCTCGTCAGCTTGCTTTTTGAGGATTTGAAACTTTCTGTGACTTCATTTGATGAGTTTTTCAGTTCGCCGACTTGTGAACGTCCCGTTAGGTAGCTTTTGAACCATTCTAGCGCAGAGTTTCTTATACCGAGTCTTTCGAGTTCTTAATAAAATATATCTTAATAAAAGACTTGTTAACAGACTCTACTGTATCGCAATCAAAGAAACCCCACACTTCCGCATAAGAAAGAATTGATCGTATGACTGAGTTGAAACACATCTGCTTGGCACTCAGTAGAAATTGATTGACATTTATGAGATTTTCCCACAGTAGTAAATTAATAGCTAACTTCTATACTTCTATTTTGCTTTGAAAATTGCTTTAGTAAACGTACACAGCCCTTTTCGTTAGTATAATAACATTCAAAGGCTCTCTAAAGAGTTCAACTTCTTAGTCGTATACATATCTATATTATGTTTCGCAATGCTGAGTGAATACATCGAAGTAACCTCTGTGAAAACTCTGCAGTAAATTGAAATTTTCCAGCTTAATGACTTTTCTACATACAAATTATTTTTAAAAATGGATCCAGTTGCTGT